TTTTCTCACATTATTACACAATACTGAAGCCACACGCTGTTTCAAACCTGGTGTCACATTACTACATGAAGCAGCAGTAATAAAAAAAAAAAAAACGCACAAGCTTACTGTCAACAAACTACCTATCTGCAGGGAGGAAAAAGAAGAAGGTAGAAGAACCAAAGATATGCACAATAATTGAAAGTCCAATCCATTTTAAGATTTTTTTTTTTTTTTAAATGATGCACTAGCATAGTTATGAAATAAAATTCTGGGAGCTTTAATACACGTGGTTCTCTCCACTGCATACCCCTAAGCTGTAAGACTGGCAGCCTGGTCCATGTTTCCAACATAAAACCAGAGAAAAAACATCAGGTATTTTTGGAAGGAAACTTTATGCTGTGGAGCACAGGGTAAGCAAGCCCTTACTCAGGATCAGTAACAGTTTTGAAAGAGTTATGAAGTCAGGAATCATAGGCTGGGCTGGTTTACTCATCAAGGTTTTATTGGTTGAGAGCCTGGGTTATGATTTTGTGTTAAAGAAATCTTAACATGAAAAAAAGTAACACTGCTGGGTAGGGAAAAAATGAACAACCTATACATATAAGCTCTTATACTAGCATTAAAAAAGGACAGGTAGTTACTATCTATCACTAAAGGCTTTCTAGTACGTGTATTTCACCATTTTGTCATGAAGAACTTCCCAGTAAAAAACTGAACTGACAAATCAACGTATCGTGATTTATTTCAATCCTCCTGGTCAAAATATTCAGATAATTTAAAGATACTTTGGGTCCAGGTGTAGGAACCAGGACGGTGCTAGTCTTGCATACAGAACAAACTGTTTTAATGAATAACTATGCATGACACTCATAATCAAGGATAAAAGAAAAAAAATAAACTAATTTAGGAAAAAAAAACCCAAAACAACGAACAACAAAAACCCAATCACCCCAAAAGAAAGTTGTTATTACACTGAGCTGTGATAGTACTACATCACCCCGACCCTAACTCGCCAAGCTGCTTGCCAACGCTGCTGTGAGCAAGATTTGCCCATCAGGTAGAAAAAACCTGAATAATATGAACTCAGGAAATTAAGTGAGAGGGAAAGAAGCCTTAGCGACATTCCAGGACTGGTTTGTTTTTCACAAAAGCAGAACCACAGAGCCATCCGAGAGCTGTTTTTCGAGTGCTGGTGGCTGTGTCTTCATGTCGGTTAGCTAAACAAGGCAGAGGCTTTTTGGTTTTCTCACCCTGTGTTATTACAGGATCTATTTTTCCCCCATGGTTTTGCCGGGCTGTATCTACTGTTGCATTTGAGCACGCTGGCTTCTTATATTTTATTGGCAGCGCACTTTTCTCCTCTTCATTAACTCTGCTTACTATTCTTTGACTCTTTAAATAAGCTTTCGTGTAAGTAAATATATCTCTAGCTCTTTTGGTAGCTGTAAAAGCTTCCCAGCAATGGCCCACATCACTCGTTTTCTGAAATATATCTGAACTTGGGGTTTGCATTTATATTCAGCGATGGCATAACGTATTTTCAAGAGATGTTCAGCACAGAGGTACAGCAACTGCAAGCAACCAGCACATCATCACCCTGGGCCTCACCCAGCAGGAATTAATTGCCTAATGCAGACTTTGCTTCCACAGAAAAGTAATTCTGCATATTTTTTTTTTTTGTCATTATGCTTTCCAGCCTTGCATCTTAAAAGATGAAAAAAGAAGATCAGCTTCCTTAAAAGTAAGACAATCCATACATATCTTACTCTCATATCAAAAAACCCCTTATCCTAAGAAATCCTCCTGGTATTATTAAATCTGAATCTCAGCCTATGTCTCTCTGTTCTCCTATAACTTTTCTTATTTATGCAGCTAAAGTTTTGCAACAGCCACACGAGCAGACTTCCAATGCTGTATGAAGATATTACAATAAACCTCGTAACCAAAGATATGTGAGTTACTGCAGTTCATCCAAAGTATAGCTCAAGCTGTGGATATAAAACCCCAAGATTCCAGTGGTTGGGTAAAGGGATGAAATCCCATGCAATAATACAGCACTTGGAGAAAGTTTATCACGAGCAATTTTCAAGGTTGCTGAAGCCACCACCTCCAGTAAAAAGTACTGAAGTTGCAACACGTCCTAGCAAGGGTTAACTGCCTTTGAGAGAAACCCTAGTTTTTAAGGATTTAAGAAGCTGCTAACAAAAATATTACTTAATATGAAAGGAAACAACTTCTAAAAGGAGAAAAATGTCATCGGTTGATGCCAAAAATAAGAAGGCAGGAGCAGATAAAAAGGAAGCAGCTGTTTCATGTTTTAAAGTATCATTTAACTGTTCTGTTTTAAATCTTTCCATCCCCAGCAGAAGATGTCAGTTTGCCTGTTCTGAAAAATCAGCATGTAATTGCATGTCTCCAAAAGTAATTACATTCAACAGCAAATTTCATCAGATTAACAAATTGATTTACGTCTCATTGTTCGGTTTAAAGCAAACCTCTCACCACAGCGAGAGAGATGCAGTGAAAGAGGCTCAAAAGCACCTGCAGTTATATCTAAATAAAGGCAAGGGACTTCATTAGCAAACAACTTTGGCATTCCAGTGCTTTCAGAAGCAAAAGCAAAAGAACATTTTTGGAACAGAAAGGTCTCAGAGCGCTAAGGATGATTATATCTCCGCACCTAGATCTTCTCCTCATTAAAGGCACATGAGGCACAGCGAGGACCTGGCAGGAAAGCTCTCAAGATCACCATCCTCAGTACGGTTTCAAGCCTACATAATTATTTTATCAAAGCAATCACTACTTATCTATATGTATTTTATTCTCTTTGGCCAACAACAAAGAGGTTTTTTCTTTCCCCTTACTGAGAGCTTTCATTTGATTAGCCTGTGGCTTTTGATTACAGAATGACATTAATTTAGAGAAAAGCTGAAAACCTCCACAGGCCATGTCCAGTCCTCGGGGATATTTATGTGCTGTATCAAATGCCTATTGTTTCCTCCAGAGACGAACCAGGGTATCAGAGGCAGTTACAGACCCTGCTTTTTAACTGCGGTACAGTTTCTTCACTCTGTCTTATTCCGTGCATTATCAAAGCCTTTTAGTCAGGCTCTAAACCTCAAAGAGGTAACCCCAGAGAGCAGCACTGCTGGCGATATTCATGTCACCTTAAAGAGGTCGAAAGCCTAAAATAAAAGGAAGGTGGAAGCGTGGGATCTGACATTCCTCCAGCTCTGTTTTTAAGCCGAGGGGTCCCGCCTCCCTCACCTGGCAGGAGCTAAGGGTACCCCAAAGTTTTCCTTGGCTGTAGCAAAGTGTCATCCACCGTTTTGCTCTGCAAGAAAAGAAATGCTTCCCGACCACATTAAACACTGAATAGCGAGTAAAATTAAAGCTTAATTTAAACTGTTATTAAGATTCATGCTAATGGAGACCACCTGTTTTATGGCTAACATGGCCAATAAAAATAGCAGGATGGGGAAAGACTATCAGAAGAAGAAATTTAATACACAACTGCTTTAATGAAGGAGATTTCCTTTGAAAAATAAGAACTCGGGAAGATTTCAGTATTTGCATACTGCTGGACACAAGAACCATGAAAGATTAAAATAATGATGATAAAGGTTCAGTGTAAGAGCTTTGTCTGAGGATTGTGAAGACTTTTTAGGAACGTAATTCCTGGCACTCTATAAAATCTTGGCCACTATTTCCCACTTAAATAGCCACGTACAGCATAAGAGAAAACGAGCCTGCTTTAATCAGCCAGAGCGCCACTCCTTAGAAGAACCTGTCTAGGTTATAATTCATCTCCACTCTGAAATCCAGCTGACACCAGCAGCACATGGCTCCACGTGAACTCTGCCTACAGACTAACACAGGAAATATCTACTGGCTTAAGAAAAAGACACATTTACAACGTTATTGCCAGCCCTGTGAAGCCAAAGAGACGTGAAGAGAATCTGCTCTTACATTCCTACATATATTTTCAGCATATCATCGCTTACCAGTGGGAATTGTTTCACAGGTCAAAGGAGGCCATTAGTGAAAATAATACAATCCCAGAGCAGACCCTTCGGTTGCAACGAGAGGCAGAGCAGATGTCTTTTGATGTATGGGAACAACCAGAGCTTGGGCTGTTCCCTTCGTCAAACAACTAAAGAAAGAAGAAAAGGTCACAAAAACGTATCAAAATTAGCAGTCACAGCTCTAATATACAAAGCACTCGAATCCAGGGAAGTGTCAATTCTGAAAGCTTTATTCGGAGCAGAATCGTACTCCCACATCTAACTTGATACCTCATGCGATCGCAGCAGCACAGCTCTGGAGTGGAGCACTAAAACCCGTACTTTGCTTCAAAACTTGGAGGCAGGCATCCCGGCAACGCCTGCGCCGAAGGGAAGTTAATAAAAGCAACACAAGGCAGCGACGGGAGGGCCCCTGTCTTAGTTTGGGCTGAAATAGAGTTAATCTTCCTTTTCAGGGACTAGATGAGTGCTGTGTTTTGGATTTAGCTTTGGGTTTGGTATGGGAAAAATGCTGATAGCACACTGATGTTTTCAGCTGCTGCTGAGACTTCAAGGACTCTCTGGCTCCCCATGTCCTGCCCGTGCGCAAGGGCACAGGGAGCAGGGAGGGAGCACGGCCACAGCACCTGACCCAAACTGGCCAGTGAAATATTCCATATCATGGCACGTCATGCTCACTATATAAAGGAGGGGTGGTTGGGAAGGAGCTCTCTGGCTTCCGGGATTGCGACTGTGGGATCTTGGTTCCTCGGGGTCGCTGGCCGGGAACAGGCTGGATATTGGTCAGCGGGTGGGGAGCAATTACGCTGTACATCGCCTGTTTATATATTGCTTTTTGCTTTCCCCCCATCATCGTTATTGTTTTCATTTTATTGCCATTATTAAACTGTTCCTATCTCAGCCTGCGTGTCTCCCTTCACCCCTCTAATCCACTCCCCCGTTCCCAGGTGGGGAGGGGGAAGGGAGGGTGATTAGCTGCGGGGGTTGGTTGCCCATCAGGCCCAAACCACAACAGCCCCAAAGGAAGGTAGCTCCTTAAAGAGTACATCATCCAAGAGGTTTGCACGTAACAATTTCCATTTCATTCCCCGGGACGGCGCACGCTCCGGTTTCCGGCACGGATGCGCGAGAGTGTACACGCAGGTTAGTGACAGTCACCCCGTCCATCACCCACGGAGAGCGCTGCAAACCAAAGGCTGATTTAATTACAGCACGTTGGGGGCTGTCCTCGATTTTCAGGTCGCTCATTTGTAACAGTTTCTGCGCTGGAACTTTTAGCGGCTCCTTGGAAAGCAGCGATGGGTTTAAGAGAGAGAAATTGTTTCCACCTTTGGGTTCTCCGTTCACAGTTTCAGCAGATGAACTAGACAGCAATTCAACACTTTGGGTTCACAAATATTTCCCTATCACGGTAAACAGCGTATTTTAAAATATCGAGTATAATTATGACAACACATTATATGACTGAATTAAGCTATCCACAGTGCATTAACTTCCTGCGTAGAAGAGAAAGAAGTTTTAGAACAGACCCACAGTCCTGACAGAAATCAACTGGAGGAACCCCAAAAAAAGCTTCAACAGCCCAATGCAGAAGTTTGAGAAACTAAAAAAAATGTAAACAGCAGAGCAATTTTAGTTATTTCTCCATTACAGCCTTTATGAAATCGGAGCGGAAGGCAGCAATTTAAGTGACTTGAAATTTTCCCATCGGTTATCAAATACCTCCAGCCCTCAACCGGTGTTAGCTGTCTAACGCTGTTGCAGTCCTCCTCCAAGCAGCACGTGCAGTGACGCTACGCGGTCACGGTGGCACTTTTTTTGGAGCCCAACTTGATGACGAATTGCCGAGCAAACAACACACAGTGAATATCTAGCGAGATTTGGCAAATGGTGCATTTTGTATGCAAGAGGCTGCAAAATCCGTTTGCCTCTTTTTGTTCCTTGAAGCATTTGGCTCATAATTAACATTTAAGCGCATTCAAATTAAAATACTTCAACCAACGTGAGGGAAAGAGAGGAGGCAATTGCCAGTTAATGATACAATTACAAACTGTGTTTTTTTCCTTAATCGGCTCCTAGGCGTCTTACATATACTGAGAAAGTAGCAAACAATTCAAAAGGCTTCATAGTGAGGGCTCTGAATCTGGGAGAAAAGTATCTAAAATGAAATGTGACAGAATGTTAATGAAAACAATAGTTTGGGTATGAAACCAGACAAGAACACGAGTTTATATTTAGTGAGTGGTAGAAAACACCATCATGAGGAAGCTGGGATGGAGCAGAGGGCTTAGAGCCGTTAAAAAGGGGCTGAAGTTAGCTGTATCAGCAACTGTGATTTTCACCCCCCTGTGCATTCAAGGAGAGGGACTCACTTGCTGGAATCTGCTCCAGGTAAATACGTGCTAGTTTAAAAGTTGTTAAAAACTGCTGACGTTTGCACAAGTATCAACGTGAGTTTCAGATTCTCACCATCAACTACTCGTCAGCCCCAGAACTGAAGTTTCACCTCTGAGTGAGCTGACTTCTGTCTGGTTTGAAACCCATGAAAACAAGTTCCCTGAGAGCTTTTGCACTGAACTCCCTCGCTTCTTACCGTAATACTGTAGAGCTTGTTATTTGTATTCTGTAGTTCTTTACTAATCTGACATATACTTTGAGAGACGAACAAAGCAAACTTAGAAAAAAAGATTTAAGAAAACAGAAAAAACAGTGGGGAAAAAGGTCATATTAAGTCTACATGACTACAGAAAAAAACATCAACCCTAACAACATTCACTATTGTCCTTTTCTAAAGGGTGCACTCTCAGTTTGGTAGAGGATAAGGAATATTTAGGGCAGTGTCTTCCAAGCAAAAGAGAGAAATGAGAACAGCTGTGGTTTGCACAACGCTTATAAAGTCACTGTGGCCGTGCCAGACAAGATCTGTTAGCAGAGAGGAGCTGAAAAACAGAGAGAATGAAAATATCGAGACATTTGTGACCTTACCTGGGTTTTCAAGAAAGCCTGGCAAGCCAAGGTTTTAAGTGAACTCTGCAACGCAGTTTTCATACTCGGAAACCACTCACACAGGAGGTATTAGGAAGCAGATTGCTGTATTTTGAAGGCTTTCTGCATTTTGCAGCTTTAATTCTTTTACAAAATAATCATTTCAAGTCATTAAAGCAGGCAGGGAAAAACATCCTAAACCAATATACTTAACAAAAAAAAAAAAAAACAACAAAAACCAGCCCCGAGCTGAAGTGGTTTTGAAGAGAGGTGGAGCAAGAAGGAAAAAAAAAAAAAAAAGCCAGAATTCAGCATTGGCAGGGACACAGCTATCTCAAACACAAAAAAGCATTTATACTCTCCGAGTCCAGATTTTAACAGGCAAGAAGAGAGGGAAAGAGAGACAGATTTCAATCAAGGACTTCAGAATAAAGTTTCTAATATTTAAAAAGAACGTGGATTATAGATTAGTTGCTCCACAGTAAAGACTGTACATTTCTGAAGTTCTCTGTTGCAAGATTTTCTACATATATAACCACTTCTGTTTAGATACATTTACTGTATCTAAATTGAAAATAAGCCAGGATAAGAGAGTTTACACACAATGACTGTTTATTACGATATTCAAACAAACAAACAAAAAAACCCCCAAAATATCAGTTGGACATGCTGCACTGCACAGGAACAGACCAAACACACGCGTAAGCTGCAAGGTGACGCACACACACAAGGAGAGAATATTTTCCATCAGTCTGGCAGCAGCAGAGTTTCACTGATTTCATCATAGTCCTTATATTAAAAACATTCTAATTTCAAAAGGGAAATTGAAACATGTTCTGTAGCTGCAAAAAGTTTAGTAGTGTAACTCCAATGAGCAAAACTGGAGGAGAAAGTCTCAGAGATAAGAAAAACATTCTGCATCCTGGCCATACTGCAACCTGTTGTTTTAATTAACTAGTCAACTCGCCCTGAAGGACTGAACCCAACCGCATAGGAACTTTTATGCGGGGAAATAAGGGATGACCACTTAGAAAAAGAAATAAGAGAGGGAGTACAGAAAAGGTCTGAACAAAAACTATTCCTATGAAAGGAGCATGGGATGAGTGCTGAAGCAGCAGTCAGGAAAGCAGAGAGGTCAAGAAGTCACCCCATGGCTCTATTTTAAATCTTGTAGTGAACCCTGGTCAAGGATTGACTGCTAGGAAGTCTTTACCCCAAAATTCCATACCATGACTTACCTTCTATTTTATCTTATTGAAGTTGAAGTTCTACAGAGAGCCAAGACTTTACAAAAACACAAAAAATAGGGGAAGCAAATAGGAAAGAGGTACAGAAAGGACATGCAGGAGCACATATTGCAATTAAGGGCAATTGAGGGCAGCTCAATCCACCACGGAAGACTGCACAAGACCTGAAAGGACACACTGAGTCCTGGAGACAAATCATACTTTTATACTGACTTTTCTCTAGTTTTTCCTCTATGGAGCCATCACTTTTCATAAACCATCTCCTACTCATCAACCGCTCTGAAAAAAATTAGGATGGTGAGGAAAGAAAAAGAATTAGAGTAAAGCAGTACTCTAGGGTGGTGTGGGAAGTGTCGTGTCAAACTGTAGAGTGCCTTAGCATCCAGTGTGGAAAAGCCTTCATGTGGCATCAAATCTGACAGCACAGTTACACCAGATAGTGAACAGACTGAAAGTATGGTGTGATACCAGCCAAAAAGCAGATCTATATGGTTAGAGGCTCTTCACGAGGGAGTCATGGCACCCCTCACCAGGGCAGACATAGCAAATGCGGGCTAAGATGAGGAGATAATGAGATGGATTGAAAACTGGTCGAACGGTTGGGTCCAGGGGGTGGTGACCAGTGGCATGAAGACTAGTTGGAGGCCAGTAATTAGCAGTGTACCCCAGGGGTCAATACTGGGTCTGATCCTATTTAACATCTTCATTAATGGTCCGGCTGATGGAGCAGAGCGTACCCCCAGCAAGTCTACAGGCGACCTTAAACTGGGTGGCTGATACAGCGGAAGGTTGTGCTGCCATCCAGAGGGATCCTGACAGGCTGGAAACAGGCCAAAAGGAACCTCATTCAACGAGGGGAAGTGCAAAGTTCTGCCTCTGGGGAGGAACAACCCCAGGCACCAGTATGTGCTGGGGGCCACCCAGCTGGAAAGCAGCTCGTCAGGAAAGGCCCCGGGGGGTCCTGGTGGACATCAAATTGAACATGAGCCAGCAACGTGCCCTTGAGGCAAAGAAAACCAAGGGTATTTGCTCAGAACACAACAGCTGTATTAGACAAAGCACTGCCAGCACATCAAGGGAGGTGATCCTGCCCCATCTACTCAGCACTGGCAAGGTCACTGTCCTGGGTTTGAGTGAGTGGTGGGGTTTTCTTGGTAGCAGGGGAGGGGGCACTCAGGGTAGTCCCTGTGAGAAGCTTCTTGAAGCTCCCCCAGCTCCAAGTCGGCCCCACCTCTGCACCAAGGCCAAGTCAGTCAGCTGTGCCTCTGCGATAACGTATTTAAGAAGGGACGTGGTGACGGGCAGTGCGACTGGTGAGGAGGAGTTGCTGCAGCTGCATGAACACCAAGGTCAGTGGAGGAACGGAGGAAGAAAGGAGGGGGGAGGTGTGCCGGAGCAGAGACCCCCCTGTGTCCTGTGGTGAGACGGCAGGGTGGCCCCCCCCTGCCACCCATGAAGATCTACGGTGGAGCAGACACTGATTTATGGCCTGTGGCTTCTGCTTGACATAATCAAGGTGCTGTGCCTGAAGAAGGCCGGGGTCTCATGGGAAAAAGCAGCCCCACTGCTGTAATTCAGTGCTGGGAGGATTGCAGCATGCGGGGGTGTCCCACGCCGGAGCAGCTCGGGAAGGGCTGCAGCCGTGGGAGGGAATCCAGTCGGAGGAAGTTAGTGACCCATGACGGAGCAGTGTGGGGAACGCTGCGGCCCATGGGAGGGACTCACATTGGAGAGGGTTTGTGGAGGACTGTCTCCTGTGAGAGGGGGACCACGATGGAGCAGGAGGAACAAGTTCCGGACACTCCCCTCACCAAAGATGAAGGAAGTGGCAGCACTGCCTGCACCCCCCATTCCCTGCCCCTGCGCCGCTGGGGGAGGAGGTAGAGATATCAGGAGCAGAGCTGAGCCCAGAAAGAAGGGATGGATGGAGGGAAGGTGTTCTCAAGATGTAGCAATGCTTCTCACTGTCCTACTCTGTTAATTGTTGCTGTTAGTATCTGTAATAAATCTGTGTTCTTTTTTAGTTCCCCTAATAAGTCTGCCTTTTGCCCGTGACTATAACAGGTGATCTGCCCCTCCCAGTCCTATATCGGATCCCAAGCCTGGCTCATTTGTCCCTTCTCATCACTGGGAGGGAAGGGAGGAGTGAGTGGCTGTTCGGTGCTCAGTTGCCCTCTGTGCTCAAATCACGACAGCCACACCTGGAGTACTGGGTCCAGTTCTGGGCTCCCCGGTACAAGAGAGACACAGACAGACTGGAGAGTGTCTAGCAAAGGCCCGCAAAAATGAAGAGACTGGAGCATCTCACATATGAGGAAAGGCTGAGAGAGCTGGGACTGTTCAGCCTGGGGAAGAGAAGGCTCAAGGTGGATGTCAATTTATATAAATACCTGACGGGAGGGCGCAAGGAGGATGGAGCCAGGCTTTTTCCAGTGGTGCCCAGTGACTGAACAGAGGCAATGGGCACAAACCGAAACACAGGAAGATCTGTCTTGAACATCAGGGAACACTTTTTTACAGTGAGGCTGACTGAGCACTGGTACAGGTTGCCCACAAAAGTGGAATCTCCATCTTTGGAGATACTCAAAAGCTGCCTGGACATCGTCATTGGCAACTGGCTCTAGGTGTCCCTGTTTGAGCAGCGGGGCTGGACCAGATGATCTCCAGAGGTCCCTTCTAACCGCTCTGGAATTCTGTGAAGACGACCACGTCTGTCAAAGGAAGGAATGCAAAAGGCAGACTTGAGTCTCCCAATGGTTATTAAAGGATGCCGCAGGAAACTGGTTTTATCTCACACTCAGACGGGCAATGCTGCTGGGTTGCTGTGAGAAAGGAGGGAGGAATGCTGTGTTGAGCTACGATGAGATCTCCAGCGAAAGGACGTGCAGGGGGGCTTCCTGGAGAAGGATGACAAAGCCATAGCAAAGTAACGAATAACTGCTACTGCAAACAGGAGAAAGGACCAAGATGTTCAACCCCAACAGGTGATCAGAGAAAGATGACAGAATAACATCAACTCGGGGAAAAAAAGCTTCTCAGATATGAACTGAAGAGCATGCTAATAGAAATTGTAAGGACCGCGTATTCCTGGATGCGGTATTGCTGCCAGACTTCTTCACAAAGAGACTCTCGACCAATAAGAGCTGATGCTATTTTAGACTTTGTTTTGGCAAGTAACAAGGACATTAAGAAGAGCTGGTGATGCAACATTAGCTTGGATTGAGTGCACACAAGCACATTCATATTAAATTACGGATAAAACGAGGTAAGTGTTGTAAGAGAATCAAAGTTCACTCTTTTTAACGACGAGAAATTAAATAAGACAGTAAAATCAAGTGGGCTAAGGAGATAAGGAATAGGAAAGCAGCCATCTAAGTATTTCTCTTGAGTCAAAGATGCAAAACTATTTGAAGGCTGTATCCTTCAGAACTAACCTCAAAAAGGACATTAGGAACAATTAAAGAGTCTATGTATTACGGAAGGGAAAGGATTCATTAGCAAGAAGCCAACAAGTAGTACAGAGATAAAATAAGAACTGCCAAATGTCAAGCTGTGCTAGATCTCAACAAACGATAAACAAAATAGCAAGAGATGTTTCAGCTATACAAGTAAAGGAGACCAGAAAGGGAAAGGGAAGAGGGTATGCTGTAAGGATAGGCAAGAGAATAAAACCAATCAATTGCACTCCAAAAACGAAAGCAGGGTTTTCATTAACGATAAGGACACTGAACATAGGTGCAAGACAAAGTGCCTCGTGGGAGTAAGGTTATAAAAAGATACTCAACCAAGACGGAGAAAAAACTCAAGTATTTCGATGTGTTCAAAGTCGGTGAAAGCAGACAGCATGCATCTCAGCACTCCAAAGAAACTGTACATGAAATAACAGCAAGGCTGTGAAAGCAGCCTACCACCCAAGCGTGGCACTATCGAAAATTTGTATTTAGAGGAGGAGGGAGAATCTAGACATTCACGCTCCTCAAGACCTCAATAGTACACAAAGTTTCAGGACAAGTTCTGAATATAAAAACCAAAGTAGTAAATGCAAAACTCAATTCAGCAAGCAATAGATCTGACTACGGTAAACTGTGATATGCCAGTCCACTATTTTCTGCCTGTAAAAATAAATTAATTATATAGACCTAGGACGCACAGCTGAGCTAATCCAAATTTCATTATGGATTTCAATACACTGGAAATTCCTGAGCGAGATAAAGATGGTGAGGATTATTTCAAGAATCATAGAAGTTAAGGGGGAGAGAACTTAGTTCAGGGATAGCATTTGGACACACTTGAACCAATACCTTCATTCGTGACACAGACCCAACACGAAAGCAGGCTACCTGCACAATCTCCTGACAAAGTCAAAGGAGATCATTAATAAAAACACAGACAAGAAACACACAGAAGAACAACTAGATTGCCCAGGACTGTCAATATTATCCACTAACAGCATCGGAATAACATTTTATGATGTTATCCAGGACTGAGATTGCTCACTATCAAGACTGTGAGCTCATCAGTTGGAAACCAAGGATGTGAAAGAACGGGGATATTAGTCCATATTAAAAAGAATAAGGACTATTAACTGCTGCAGCCATGAAAATGAGCAAAGCAAAATACTGCCATAAAAGGACCTAGAATGGTCCATAAAGAACCCAGAGATACCGCTGTACAAAGCAGTGGTGAGACCTCATCTCCATGACCTTATACGCGGCTGACCAAAACTGCACAAGCGAGATTAATACAAGCAAGCACAGAGGAAAAACAAATGAGGCAACTGAACCCAAATAACCTGTTTCACAGGACAAGAGGAGGAGGGTTTCTCTTTCTTAAGCCAACAAATAAACACTAAAGGCTGAGAGAGGATATGACCTGTCCAAAATCATCCAAGGGAAAACCGGAGACCCAGCTGCCAAACAAGAAGACAGATGGGACATTTAAGCTCAGTGACAACACTGGCATAGGAAAAGCTAGCAAAAATTCACCTAAGTACAGGTAGGGTGGAGGCTGGAGTAAACACAGGAGAGGTAAGGGACAGGAGACACACTGTTCTTCAACAGCTACCAAGTCCTAACACACGGTTCTACATCACGAAATAGCAAATAAATAAGTCAGGGTAAGTCCAGGACCAATTATGGAAAGTAAACAATCAGCCAGCAAAATCTGTAAGTTAAATAAAATATTGTTTCTTCTTCTGACTCCTGTGATTACCAATTTGATAGAAAATGAGCCTCGATATTTAAAAAAATGATTGTGCAAGTGCCCACTTACATACACAGGACATTACTTTCTCTATCTGAAATGGAAACAGTGACTTTGTGCTTGAGTATCCAATAACATAAAGGTTTTACCTTGCAGCTCTTGCAAACTCCTCCGTATCTACAAATTAGGATTTGACAACGAACTAAGACGTTACCAATTTGTAAAGTAAAACCTCTCCAGCTGTAAAATGATTACCAGTATTTTGAGTAATATTAAAAAGAACCAAAACGCAGTCCAAAGTCAGCCTACTAAATCTACCGGTCTGCAGTCAACAAGACAATGTTTCCCGAGTACTTAAAACTCACTGTTTTTACCAGAAGGTGATGCATACGTTTCACATGTATTCCTAGTGTTATTTTAAAAGTTCAAGAAATACCTTGAAAAATATCACGATAGCTTAAGGACCCATGCAGACCTCATTTCCTTGCTCAATATTATCATGTGCATTATCTTCGTCAGAAGTGACCCCTACAGTGAATCTGTGTGACTGATGTCGGAAATATCAAGTAAATTAATGTGAAGTTGTCAGCCTTCACATAATAATTAGTCGAATAAAGGTGAAGACGGAAGAATTTGGGTTCCCGCATTTGACCAAGCTTCTTAAAAAAGGCAGAATTCAAATGTACAGAGCCTCATTTGAGATCTCTGCTCCAGACCTAGGAGTCCTTTTGTCCTTCAAAAGGTGCCCGTATCACTGAGTACACTGTGCTATGATACTTGACTTAGCCCAGAGCAAGGAGGTGGTGTGGCCAAGGTTCCTCTGAATTACGAGCTGCCGCAGCAGTTGCCGAGTCTCTGTGATTGCAGTCGGTGATCTACGAGTGTTTCCGTGATTCACCAAGCTTCATCCACTGCTTCTCTGGCACTAACCTTATCACCGCCGGCAGTTTGCCACCTGAGGCAACGTGTGTGTTAACTGACTGCACTGAATTAAGGGAAAGAATAAGCTTCATCTTTTTCTGCAGGTACCACCAGTCTCGGGCAGCACACGGAGAAAGGGGGATGGCCCTCAAGCCGTGCCTTTTGAGAACAAGACGTTATGTTTTCTTCAACATCAACATCTACACGTTTGAAGTCAGAAACCTCATTAATACATAGCCCTGTTAATAAGCAAGCATCCCGCTTTATTTCACTGTGCCTTTTTAAATCCACTGGGCTGAGGCAACATCAGAAGACGGTGAAACTTTTTGGTGTTAATCGGGAACATCAAACCCTTTGTCTGCTGCAGGATTATACTGAGAGCTGGTTCAGCTTGGGCAACACAAAGCACACCGAACTGCCACGCTGCTTGAGAGAAACAAAAAAGTACTTTTAAATAATTATATACATGTTAACAGCTCCTACCTGTATTTTTATCGGCCAGGTGAAATTGCTGACGTAAACGAAGAAAGTGATGTTTGGATTGTTGCGGAAATCGAATTTCTCATTGGAGAAACTGTCCTTGTATTCTTTTATATTGGTTCTTGAAACAACTGGAATTTCCTCCCCAGCCTGCGTGCCAGCTGTTAATGAATGTTAAAAAGTAGCAAGAAAAGATGTTTCAATGCACATTTTCAGCGGCAAACAAAAAGGGTAAAGCATCCTGAATTTTAATGCTACCAAATCAACTGTTCATCGGAACACTACTATTTTAAGCTGCATTGCGTTATCAAAATCACTGCATGCCAAAATACTGCATTACTAAAAATCAAATCTGCACCTTTGATGTTTCCAAAATACACTATTAAGACAGAATAACATAGTTCTTTTTAATATTTTGCTTCTGCCCTCCCAGGCCTAACATTTAAAACCATTACAGAACACGTTCATGGGTTAAAAAAAAAACTTCCCCACTTGCATTTGTTGAAACCTGGTAACTGAAACAAGCTACCGAGACACTCAGATTATGCTCATTTTACCTGCAAAACTTGTGGACCAAGTAATGTTGAGGTTGAAGTTTTTAGATGCATTGATAAACATGTCCAGGTCTCTGTTTTGCTTGGAGGAAAAAAAAAAAAAAAAAAAAAAAGAAAAAAAAGAAAGCTTATTTTTAGGGTAACAATTTTACTGTACTGTTTCCTAGAAAATCTTCACTGAAAAAAATAATCTTGGAATTTGTTATTTACATGAAGCAACTACATCGAGCTAAAAAACTATTTACATTTTCTGAAAGCAGTGTTCTCCTCACCAAGGCAAGCATAACAAAGAACAAAACAAGTCATATGCATAAACGGGAAGAATAGAGACATGACGTTTTGGGTGAACAAGCACAACTAGAATTGCTCAGCAGTTGTTCAAACAGCCGTAAAGAATCGGCTGTGGTTCCTTAGGAAGTTTTACCATGAAGATTTGAAACTGCATGGCCAAGCCAAGCTCCAAAACTTCTGGTTGCTTTGTGGAGCTTGACCGACATGCCACGTTAAGAGACTACATCTGGAGACGAGCAGAACTGTAACAACTCATCACCTCCGTGGCTCAGAGAAGACAAACGCATACCCAACGGATGAAGTTTTCAAGGGAAAGTAGAAAATCTTACCTCTTCGGGTGTTGCTACAAAGTTGATTGCTGTGTAATAGCGATCATCCTCTTGAGAAAGGCTGAAGGTGAACTGATAGTCAATGAGAAGAGTATCTGTAAGGAAAGCATGGAGAAGGTTATCCCACGTCTAGGAATGAAACAAACGTCTGCAAAGCAAGGCATGATGTCTCTGAAGCGTTTCTTGCACTGAGAGCACAACCAGGAGTCACCACACTGTTATGAATGATTCCAACCTACATCGGGACAAAAATCTTTAGGTTGAGTTTAGAGGGAAAAAAGATTCTGCTTACATCTCCTAGGCAATAGCCTCCAGCCTTAATCGAAATGACTGCTCATACCTGTGCATCGTAAGAAACGTGCCAAGGCGTTTACTTTTCTCATACTGCAATACCTCCACGTACTAAGGGAATGCTATTAAAATAAAATAAATAATCCGCGCTTGGGAGGGGACTAAGTTCCACGCATGATAAGTTTCTGCACATCAGTGGACTGTGTGTACATGGAAAATTTCTGCGGAGCAGCTGCTTGTTCATGGACCCAGCTGCCTCCCTACTCTGGGTCACATCCTGTCCAGCCATGCCAGGACCAGTTTTTTTGCCTACCTGTCCACCCTCCCGTGCTCCTGTCTGCCTAGGGGTGGGTATCACCTCTCTTAATCGACAGTGCACAGCCAGTTTTGGGGACACAACCACCAGTCGCCGTATCCTCTTATTAAACCGCAGTATTATGACTTGTAGATATTTGCGAACCCGTGCAGAGATATTCCAAGCAATAATCAATGTGAAGCTAGAAAAGCAGGCGTTATTTCTTTCTTATCACCTCCTGGAGACCCCTCGTTGAATAGACATGAGCTAGAAAACCTTCTGACATCTACTCACAACTCCTATGAAGCACTATGAGATTTTTCAATGAAGAAAACCAAGTGAGACTGAACCTGTATAGCACGAGGTTGTGCCTGTAAGAGTCAACTCCTGTCTTTTTGCCCTTTTTACCCACGTTCCCACCCCTGCCATTGGCAGCGATGAATTAGGTCATCCTTGCATAAAGACTGTCATGAGAAGCCATCGGTGTCCTCATTTGGCTGCACAAGCAGCATTGAAATTTGCTAAGTACAGCATGTTGATAATTTCTGCGTTGCACAAAAATACTATTTAAGACTTGCATCTTTATGTAATTTAAGATTACATCTATCCATGCCTGCCAGTGTGCTGATTGCTAATATTTGCAAATAGAAGCTGGAGAGTTTCCATTAAGTAATCGGAATCTTGGCAAAGTATCTGCTCGAACTGCACGGGAATCCAACTGTTCCTTTCAGAGGAAACGTGGCAATTTTGAAACCTTACCCATTCTAACACAGAACAGAATTCAAAAAACCCCCAAACAAAACAGTATTTTGCACTTCCAAAAATTCTAAAGACATGCTTGAGTTTTGACTTATTAGGTATATATTTTAGAGCAGTCTCCAGAAGACCAGATTTCATTTCAAAGTCAGGTGAAAAACAGTCAAAAGTTGTTTTGAAAGCTCCAATCATCACACAGACCTTATCAAGAAGAGCACTCTCATTCTCTTTAAACAATACTTTTGTGAGAACTATTTTTCAGTCCTTCCCTTAATCCCCTGTATTTTAAACAGACGTTGAAGCAACTAAAACTAGTTTTAAATAAGACATTTTAAACATCAAACACATTTTTCATCTCCAAACAAAATCCCAGGAGTACTCACAGTAACACGTTCCTTTAAGTGGATTTCCCTGATATCTATTTTCAACTTCGCACCTAAAAAGAATACATATTTTTTAATAAAAGGATTTTTTTTTCAGTTCTATTTATTCCCCACCACTGAAAACCAGAAAACACCACCTCTGCCGATAACAGTACACAATTAAAGATGCATGTCTGAGCTATACTGGGCTGCTGAAGAAATTACACGATCCCTGCAAGTCAAACTAATATGCAGTAAAAATGAAATATAAAATTCTGGATATTAACCTTTGCATCCACTTGGAATGTATTTATTAGCTCTTCACAATGCATGCAACTGGATTACTACAGTCAAAACCTAACATTTCCATTTACATTACAGCTATTCCAGGATCTAGTCCTATAAACGTTTACTCATGTGAGCAACATTTTAAAAATAAACCTGGCAATGAAATTATTGGGAATGAAATTATTTCCACTAACAGTACACTAAAAGCATTTCTGTTACGTTACAGAAAAACCTCCCGCAAATTTGTGGCTCTGAAACTGCTCCATTAAAACGCTTGAATGTCAGAGTCTTATTTCAGATATATTTACACTCCCCCAGAACAGCCCCAGAGTGCACAGACAGTAAAAATCTACCAATTAAAAAGAAACTATTGAGGGATAAAGCGAAGCGGTATGTAGAGTCTGGGGGGTGGGGGGGCATTATTTTTTTCCCCCATCCCTTCCGCATGACATTGCCAGCCGAAACGTTCTTAAAAACGGAAATCTTCAGGAAATCATTTTGTTCATGTCATCCCCCCAGGGGAAGCGTGGCTGGCTGCACCGTCAGTGAAGTTAGTCAACTGTCAGCGGGAAGAGATGAGCAGAGACATCGTAAATCCAATCAGTAAAAAATGTGGGGGGGTTCCATGCCGGGACGTGCACGGCCCTTTGATTTCAAATAACGAAGTGAAACCAACTCACAGTTGACACTCGTCTCCTTTTATTCCCTTGGTGGTGCAGAAACATTTCCCTGTATTTGTGTTGCAGACAGACGCGTGGCCATTGCACTTGCAAGCTGTTGAGCAGAGGGGGGAAAAGACGCAACTTTGAATGAGGCAAGAGAAACAGATTCGGTAGCAATTAAGCCCTTTAGTTGCCAAACTGAGAAACATCAACAATTAAAGTGCATATGAAAACCCATTTGGTACTCTTTGGTTTCTCTGTGATACAGAAGGCAGCCAAAAATAGAACTGTGCGTCAAAACAGAGTGAGTGCGGGCTCCAGGACTGATGTTCTGTAGGAAATCATGATCAGACTGTGCTTTTTAGCCTCAAACAGTGATTTAACTTCCTCTCTTGTTAGATAGCACTAAGGATGTCGTAACTGGTAAGAAAAGGACAATATTTGGAATAGCTTTGGGCTTCCTAACACATTTCAGCCAAACTCAAGCCTATCGAACGAAGACTATTTTTTTGCAAATAAAGCAAAGCTCGTGGTGCTTTTAGGGCTTTTTCTAGAAATAAATAAAGCCCTTGAGAAAATAACGTCATTATCAACAATGTCAGTGTATCTGCATGGTAAAACGGCCGGTGCTAAGAAGACAAGGTCCGTGCTGTCAGTGGTTTGGGGCACGTGCCCCGATGTATTTTAGAGTAGCTTTAGGCTGCTCTCGCGTGCTGAATGCCACCGAGTTGTGGCTGAAGCAAATCAGCATGCCCCTAGACTACACTGGGTTTGTGTCATGCCCAAGACAGACCAGCTCATCTACCCTGAGCCTGCCCGAGAGGCCAACCAAGGTATGGACATTCAGATTTCTTTCAAAAGAATGCTCCTGGTTCAAATTAAAATGCTACCGTTGACACGCTCTGAGACCTCATAAAGAAGTAGAGGAGGTATATGCAAAAAAAAAAAAAAAAAAAAAAACAACAAAACCAAAACCCCCCAAAAAACAACCTAAACCAAACCAACAAACAACAGCAAAACCAACACGTGCAGTTGTCGTTGCTAGAATCTTCACTATAACTAGAAGAAAGGGTATTACAACCGCTCCCAGAAGCCTTTTAGGAGTTGTTCTACCAATGAACTGGAAGGTGCATTCACCTGGAGCTGGGCGTGCAGAGTGCACGGTGCCAGAAGGGAAAAAGTACACAAAGTGAAGATCCTTCATTTGAGCTCCCCGAGCTTGCTGGATACAGTATGCTTTGAAGGCCGGGGCCGCCTCGTTAAGAAGACACATGCCTTCTCATTAAGAAGACATGCCACTCAATGTACCTGCAGACTCTTACACACGAAATCCCCATCCTGAATACCCTTGCCAGCCTTGGACCTTATTTTATGAATCCTTTTGATGTCTTCTTTATATTGGCATGTAATGGAAGCTATATTGTATCAGGGACACTTAATTGTGCTTCTTAGATGTGGATGAGTGGTTTCCTAGCAGCAACGCGGAACAAAATAGGAAGCAGCATAAAGGCCTATTGTGGGAGCAAGTAGACTGAATGAAGATTTGACAAAATAATTGTATTCTGTGAAGCAAACACACTTCTCATTAGTGGCACTTTAAAAAAAATAATCTTAATACTACTGAGAATGTCTTGTACTCCCTCCCTTGATTTGCAAAAGGTAAGCAAACTGAAATTTAATCAGTATTCAGCATTAACATGCATAAAAATTAGGAGGAATTTCAAATTTCGTGTTGTTTAGATGCAGACCACAGTATCTTGAGCGCTAAACATTAATGCTTCCTCACCCTGCTCTTTAGCCACATGCTTGTCAAGAAGACTGAACACTCAGATATCCTTATTTAAAATAACAGGGTCTGCTTATTTATCCATTCTCCTATGAGCACCTTAACTGGAGATCATTCACTAAAGAACTGGGATATGCACAAAGAGAACTATTCCCACGGCTTTTCAAACAACTAATAGGTTTGGAAACCAGCTACAGACAAAACATACTAGACGCCCTCGCTGAAGCCTGAAAATTTCCCTCCGGAGTTTGACGCTAGAGCAGAAAGCCAAAATTACGAGAAATGGCTTCTTGATGCTGAAACGTGGTGCCAGGCTGCCGGTGAACCACCTCCCACCTTCTCCAGGAACATTCAGGGACGGCCATGGGGACCGCTGTCCCTCCTCCTGCATACGTGACGGTCCAGCCTACCAAAGGCAACCCCATCACCCACCTGCCCAACACCATTTTCCCGTGCCAAGTGTTTTTGCTGTCCCCCCCCCTCCCCAAGCCCCCCTGCAGCCCTGGCTGGGGGGGGGGGAGCAGGCGTTGGGAAGCGCTGCCGCAGCAGCAATCTGATTTCAGGCATAATAGCGCCTTCCGCTCTCTTGCAAATAACTGGCTTATCTACCGCCAGCATATTTTCATGTGCAGCTTTAATCAGAAAATTCAAAAAAATCCTGAACGCAGAGAAGTCACCTTGCAGCTATTTTTACATTTGACGGGCTGCGTTTCCTGCCCTGCCCGATTAACACTTCTCCACGTTGGACACTTCCTAAAAGCAACCGCTGAGGAGTGATTTACCTACCATTTAGTTATTATCCGCCCGGCTCCGCAAACACCAATGCCTCTGATGATATGCAAACGCTTCTTTCAGAGAAATAACTGCAGTTTGTCAAAATTTTCCCGACACGAGGGATGCAGCAGTGTTCGCCTGCCCCGGTGGCACAGAGCAGCAGGAAAAGGCATCTTATGCCATCCACCCTTCTTATTTCTCCCTGGATTTTGAACCCCTTCGCTACCACTTCCAGCTCAGCACAGCCTCACCCGTTTGCTACGCCGGCTGTGACACTCAAACTCCTGATGGCTCGGCAAAACGGGAAATACCAAACACTAACGACTTTTTTCCAGCACTGAATATTTGCCGTTTTGAGGGTATTTACGGTCCCTGTGCTGCTGGGGCCACGGGGCTGACGCTGCAGACCTCCACACCGAAGTGCAAGCACTCACACTGGGCACGAAGTGTGGAAACACAAGGGAGGCTTACGCATTCAGGACGGCGTGCACCAACGCCCATCTCCAGCACGGATGTGGCCGTGGGCTCTAAAAACAGAGCGGCATGCGACACTGCACATAAACGCACAAAAAAAAAAAAAAAAAAGAGTTGACCCAGCACGTGGTTAATGGGAAAGGAAGGAGGGGAAAAAGCAGGAGTTGGCTCTGTTGCCCGCCAGCCAATCCTCACCTGAAGAATTCCCCTCTGGAAACCTTTTGACCAAGCAAAAATTACTGATGGCCAGCAGTCGCTCTGGTGGCATCAGATCGGATGACTTGCCCTCATTTTCCTTCTTCTGATCCACCTCTGCCTTTCTGCCCAGCTTCCTGCCTCCCTCATTCTTTTGCCTTCACAGTGAACAGCGTTAACATCACAGCAAATTAAAAACCTGGGCCCAAAGCACTTGAGAGCAAAGCACTTTTGACATGAGCTACTAGTTCCATCAGATAACAAATGAATGCTGTTCCACAGTCTCTCAACACCTTTTCTAATTTCTTTTTCAGGCATCTGGATGATTTTAGTCTATCATTCATTATCTCAACAACAAACTATTTTTGGACAATCCTCATGCAAACGAGTCCAAAGTTACTCTCAATTTCCACATACATAGAAAAGCAACAAATACCAGAAGGCACGTTGTGATCCAGTGATTAAACCTGAATGCTCAGAGCAGAATTATATATTTTCTCAGGCCAACTCAGTCTCAATTTATTCATTCCCGCACTTCAAATTATCTTCACATGAAATGAGTTTACGAATATCAGCGGTATTTAATCTCGCAGATAATGTTTTGAAATGAAGTGTCAGAGATGCACCTTCTCCTCTCTACCCATGACGTTGTGCTGTCTGTTGTAATTTCATATCCCAGCTACTGCAACACCTTTTTCTCTAAGTAAGGTTGCCTTGATCCTGTCCGTGATCTTTTCACCCCCTTCCTCCTATTTGTCCGCTGGGAGGTTCTTCTTTGTAGCTTCAGAAATCACCAACTCGTTCTTGCTTTAGCAAACAGGACGTTCACGCTCCTGCTTCTGACTCTCATCTTCATCCCACACGTCGATGACACTTCCAGCAAACATAGTAAATGAATTTCCAAGTATTTTCTACATGCTACTTCCAGCAAACATACTAAATGAATTTCCAAGTATCTTCTACCGGATTGTCTCCACACGTGGAAGGAGCAACTCAAAGACTTCAACGTCCCCTCATTAATCACCTTTACTTACTACTTCTGGGATGCCTAAAAACCACCTGCACTCATTTCATGGAAGTACTGATACTACTCTGACACCAAACAATGTTATTTCTGTTCCACCTCTTCCATCACTGTATGTAATTGTATCACTCCACCTAACTATGCTCCTTTAAAGCTCTTGGGAGCAAGCAGCACCTTCCCTTACATCTGCCTATCACCTATCACAGGTGGCTTCTGGTTTACAGCTGGTCTCCCCATGCTACGACACCACAAAATTCACAGAAATTCAGAATAACGTTGCAAGGTTCAAGGGCAGAACTCCAAATCTGCCATGTGCATTTCTCAGTATTACCTGTATTGGTTCTTCATGAAAGAATTTTTTTCCCCAGGTTGTTAACTGGATCTTGCAGAACCGAAGAAAGTTCTTTGTGCCAAAGAGTTCCAAAGCACTTTACAAATTTAAAATGCAATTTTAACAGGGATCACCTAATCCTCTATTGAAATCCAGCCAACTCCTCAGTGAGATATGGCAAGCCTTTTATGAAGCAGGCAATTCTAACAATAAACACACATCACATTAACCAAATGTAATAGAAGGTGGAATTTAGATAAGCAGAAATTTGTTCAAGACATTGGGATTAACACTGTTTCTCTTCAAAACAAGATCATCAAACACTAAAATGCACACATTTTTCACTCTGGTCATTTAAAGTTTACAAAGGAAGGTAAGAAATCATCTTTATCTTGTGCAATGAAAGTCAAAGAATTTCATCAAGCAGTTTCCGTATCTTTGATTTGAAGAAACATGAATTGTGCCTTGCTTGCAGGAAACAAAAAAATGTATTATCAGGATATAATTTCAGTTAAGATAGAGGAAAGAGTAAAGAGCAGAAAACATCAAAGACTTCAGCACAGGAAGATTTAAGGCATCACTTACGCTGACATGTTCCTCCGTTAGTAGGATCACCGTAGTAGCCTGAGATACAAGTTTCACAGTGTTTGCCAGTTGTCAGATTTTCACACTTCTCACAGATGCTTTCATTTACACACTTACTGTGCCCATTACACTGGCAGGCTGAAGAAAAGAGAAAAGGATGAGTATTCTGGGCTCAAATATAGCGCTTCACATAGAGTCTCAGAAGCTTGTGTTCTGCAGAGGCCGAATGAAACCATTGCATGTGTCTTCCAGAGAGGCTCTTGCAGTCTTGCTAGTGATACATGAACTCAAAAAGAAGCATGCATTGAAAACCTGAAATTTAAAGCAACATGTGGAAAACTGAACTCCAAAACATCACGTGCTTATTAGACAGACATTATCGAAATAGCTGGTGGGAGAGATTTACAAGGGGAAAAGGGGAAGAAAGGGTGTAGCAGCAGTCCAGGTGATTTTATTCTCTACGTTTTGTGTCGAAAATATTATTTCAGAATCACCCTGAGCATAACTAACAGTGAAATCAACCTTCGAAGAAAGAATTGCCTTTCTTTCCAACAACCCTGAAAGGAATAAACAAACAGAAGTTAAAAACTGGGTAAAGATTTCTAGAGAAAGATTTCACTAGACTAATGCAGAGATAAGTCGTCATGCAGCAACCCTCTGCAGCTCACCTGCAGCTACCTGCACAACTCCTTCCACCTCAAAACATGCTATTTCTTGTTTGTCTTCCTCTTTCCCTCCCTCCATGAACAGGAGGGGACACAGACATCGCTATAGTCTTCAAAAGTCTCTCCCCTTGCATTTAATTGTTTCTACGGCTGAAATGTTTGAACAAGTAAACGTTGCTCATTTACCTGGACACTGAATAAACGACCAGTTGTAGTTGTTCTCCACAGGACAAGTGCTGACGTTAAGGACGGGCTCCAGGCTGTGTCTCCCTGTTGCCGACGGGGTCGGCATCTTGACCGGCCCTCTGTAAGACCCTTCGAGGCACTTCCCCTTCCCCGTGTTGCTCGGATCGGTGCACCAGCCGCAGCCGGGCTGCTCCAAACAGTGAGCACACGTGCAGTAGCCTGAACAGTTTTCAGCTATAAAAAAAAAAAAAAAAAAACAAACCCAAACGTCAACTTGTGGAATAAATCGCTGTCCCAAAACACAGGTGACAACAAACGCAGAAACCCCTCTATGTCTTTTGTGACCCTGAGTGTTTATCTCAGCAATTCTGTAAATATTTATTGTGATATTCACAGTAACACACATACATATCGATACGTAGATTCATTCCTATCAGCATATTTATTCTACAGTCTAACTACTAACAAAGGTTGCATTAATCAGTGAGCTACGAAACAACACAATGCCCATGTGAAGTCTTTCTAACCATTACACACTACCCAATAAAACCAGAGGTTCATGTTCCCCAGTACAAAATATCTCCTACTGATTTACAACGGATCAGATGATAAAATGAGCCATCCAGAAGCAAAGGCTAAAAACCAGTTTGTTTACTCGCTTTGAGTCTCTTCTTACCACACGTTTTAATATCACACACTACTATTTCAAGTATTTATCCGAGTCAAGAAGTGTAGAATACAAGTATAGAATAAAATTTGTCTTCGTAGGACGCTCAGAGTGCCACATGCAGATCCCCTGGGCCCAGCAATCAGCTGAATCAGGGAAAAAAAAAACATCGTCACCCTTCAACTGTTCCTTTCTCAAATGGGATTGTATTTCAGGGGTGACAATTATATCTTTTATATCCTCATTATATCTAGGAAAGTTTTTCTATTCCTTTCCCAATACCATATTAAAAAATATTTTGCAGATTCTTGGTGTTCCAAGATGAGCAAGCTTTCTGTCTTGATGTTTAAATTGACAATTTTTGCCTTTTTAAAAAAAAAAAAAAAAAAAAGTAGTAGAATACCATTGTTTTCCATTATTTCAGCCTACTCATCTCCTGCCTGATGCTTCCTCCAACTTTAGACCTCTGGCAATACAGGAAATTCACACTCTCATGTTTGACTGTTACCTGAAACTGATTTTCTCCATCTCTCATTTTGCAACACTTTGAGCCAGTCTGGCTTATTCTCATCAGCATCCAAAAGTTCCTGGAGCAACTGCAGCACCTCAAACTGCCCAATTTCCCTCCTGGGGAACACAGGCACTCCTCTCCCTCTGCTACCCCGAGAGCCCTAGCTTTCCTGACTCGCCTACTTACATTTAGTTCCTAAAGAATTCAACATAAATAAAAATAATCTCTAAAACCGTTTGACCACTTCTTACGTTTCTAGACTATTTTACCCTGGTTTCAAAACAGAAATCAATATTCCAGAGCATCATAAAGCTTTTGCAGTTTGCTCACATCCACCTAAAAGGGGGTGGGGGGGAGGGGGCGGGAAACCAAACATAATGTATTTAAAGTAAGTTAGAGATTCCTGCTGCGGGCTGTATGCAGACAGTACTTCAGAATGAAACCTTGTGTAAACCCTACTAGGGATTTGATAAAGATAATCTAATACTAAATTACATGGCTTCATATATGAATAAAAGAGATATAGAAGAGATACAAAAAGGAGATCATCCCATCAAATTATGCAACAATTCATCTGAAGGATAGGAATTCAAATACCGAAACGGCTTCTCCATCGTCAAAAAAAAAAGTGGAGATTTCATCATCTCACTTGAAAGCCTTCCCTATCCACCCTCTAGTTTAACTGATAGATCCTGTAACCGGGATCTGTTTAATGCTTCACGTGCTGCAGGACTGACCGGCCCCCTCTAAGCTCCTGGGGTCATGTATTTGTCACCTCCACCCAAGGGATTTCCCACCCAACCCACGCGCAGAGCTCGCCCACCTCTGCTAGCCAACCTCAGCAATCGCAAAGCTCCGGCCGCGACGCAGAAGCAACTACTCACGCGGACAGCTGCTCATGGTGTACCACTCCATGCACTGCCCGTAGGGGAAAGAGGCCACGTAAGCGTTGGAGTCCACGCACTGCTTCATGTTGCTGCACCACATGCACTCGGAGCTGCCGCTCGTGCACTCCCCGCAGACGGTCCGCAGGGCGCAGGGCGTGCGGCACTGCTTGGCGCTGTGGTTTGCTGCGGGCAGGAGGGCAGGAGTCAGCTTGCTGCCAGGAAGGAAGGGGTAACCAGCCCCCGAGATAGAGAGACGGAAGATAAAAAGCCCTGGCTGCTGCTCAGGCTGAAAACTAGCTCAGCGTCACCGACTCGGAACGCTTTGTTTTGTCGGGCGGTGGTGCTGGGTGGAGCTGGAGGGACACCACAGTGAATGTGAGAAATGCAGTCAGGACTGTAAAAATCATTTCTCTTATTCCGTACCCTTCACGAGTGGTCATGCTTTTTAAGGTCTTCACCTTAAAACGATGAAATGAGCCAACCCAGAAGCAAAGGCTAAAAAGCAGTTTGTTTATCTGCTTTGTGTCTCTTCTTACCACACACTACTATTTCAAGTATTTACCCGAGTCAAGAAGCCTACAATACAAGTATAGAATAAAACTTTACACAAGAATAGAGTAAAAGAGAAGTTCAAGGTATTCACCTTAAAAACAATTTAAATGAATGCAGTCTTTATCTCTCTGCAGGTCTGTTGATGTGCTCCTTAGCTATTCTCTCAGCCAAAGCGTTGGGAAGAAACCCCACGTTTTATGTGAGCACACTGGGACATGTTTTTAAGTTATTTGATCAGTTCCACGCATAAAATGAGTACTGAAAGCAGAACTAAGTCAGGAGGTTCTGGTGTGAGCAAATGCTTTATCATCTGATTCAAGCGACTGCTCTCAGACCATAAATCACAACTTAAAAGCTCAAACCAATTCAGAGTGCTGCAAATTAAAATATACAAAATTTTGAGTGCAGGTTTCACATTCATGATCTGCATCCTGCACTTCCACAAAGAATGACTTAAAGTGGTGTAGCTTGCTTAGAAATTTTATGTCATGAGCCAACTTTCTTAAAACGTAGAACCACTAATTGGTATTCAGAAATAATCAGGTAAAATGGAGAGTTAACAGACTAAGCCCTTTTAAAAGATACGCAGTTCCAACAAAGCTAGAAAACTTTTCCCGAAAGCAAATAGCTTCTTTTTCAAAGTTCTCATCTCTCCAAAGTGTCTTGGCCAAATCACTTCAAACTTTGATAAAATCCTCCTCTGGCTACAGAGCGAGGGAGGGGAAAAAGGTGGAAATCAACTGGAAGTAGCTTTTATTTTATTTTTTAAATAGGAGATTGCTCCATACCATAATTAACCTATAATGTCACATTCAGGGATGCAATTTGGGAAAAAAAAAAAAAAAAAAAAAAAAAAAAAAATCATTGAAACTGTAACGTACTTCAAGCATTTTACAGTTAGCAAGGCAAATGTAGAGCTATTTTTAAAATGTCCATTTCCTATATGAAATATCCACACGAGACATTTTTCCAGAGCCACTTTTCTTTGCCAAACTCATGGTGCGGTGGTGCGGCTCATTTTAAATGGAATAAATGGGGTTTTCTTTACTCTCTAGGAAGTATAAATATTTACTAGTCAGCCTGCCCCTCACAAGACACACACGTCAGTTATGGTTACCTGGCCTCTCGCAGACGCTGCCGTTGACCTCGTTGATACACGTTGCTGCCTTCAGTCCTTGCTGGAAAGGTTCGGCCAAATAACCACAAAATCCAGCATCGCTCGGTTCATCGGGGAGCCACTGGAGCAGGGTGTTGGTGAAGGGAGACATGTCTTCCCAGCACCAATAAGACACGTTGATTTTCCTCAGTCCAACCCACGGAGTCAAAGTTTTGGGCTAGAAATCAAGGAAAATGGTAGATTTAATACCTAGTTTTATTACCTTAGTTATTAAAAGAAAATACACGTTACCATATAATGCTCGTAACGACTTTGCCAGGTTAGGTGATACAAAAATGTAATAAAGGAAATAATTGTTAGTGCTATCAGAATTTAATGCCACAGAGATAGAGGAATCCTTCAGGAAACACCAATTATTAGTTTGGTTTTTTTTTTTTTCAAACTACGTTTCTAGTTATCTAAACCAGGAGAAGAACAAGTCAAACGTCCGAGACTACGAGATTAACTGCAAGTTGCTCTTTATACGCTTGTGACTCCTGCAAATGGCTAGACACAAGAAATATTTCTGGAGCTACAGTTTGACATGAGGAGGAAAACTAGCAGCCCTCTCTACAAATCAAATGATAGAATCTACCTACTCTCCAGTCTGACTGGGAGAACTCCGCTGTTTAAGGGTCTGTATGTGTGGATGGGCGGAAAGACAGGGCAGGTCAGATCTAAATTAGTGTTGCTGGCAATAAAATTCTCCATATGAAGAACCTGTGACACAACTAGTTCTACGGGCAATTTATTTTCTGGCGCACTTTTATTTCGAGGAGAGGCATTTTAACACTATTGGTACAGTATGTTATTTTGCTGTTAAAATCTTTTCTCCATCAGAGCGCTTCGGTGGCACGGCTGCCCTAGGGAGGCTTTAGACCATACGTCTTAGTGCTACACATAACCACCACCTGCTTCAAACTGATTTTACACACTCTTAAACCTTAGAGCAGCAACTTCTAACTGCAACAGGGTTACACAGCACTACGTGCCAACGCCAACACCTTTTCTTCTTATTACAAAACATCCGTATGCAGCTTACTTAAAAGAGGAGTAACAGCCTCTCCCAGCGCAGCAGCAGCAGCGTGCCACCGAATGGCAGAAGTTCCAGTACCAGATACAGGCTGGATTTTTAGCAAAGGCATTTTCCCACATCACGAGCACTCAATACTGATATCAACTAAACAGGGCTAATAGTCTCTTTAAATTTCTAAGGCTCACTTTTTCAAGGACACAATAGATGAAAAAAAACAAAAACAAAAACAAAAAACCCAAACCATAAATTAGCAATTTTTTTCTCCCCTGTGTAAGGGTTCAAACACTATTAGGGAAGGACTGCCATGTGTCTTTAGGAATTTACACTACACTTAACTACTAGGATATCCAGAAACACCTAGAGCAGTTCAAACCACGTACTTTTAGAATATCTCAGGCTTGGCTTCCCCTCTTTACAAAAGATTTAACAAACAAGCTTGCTTGAAACACACCTTGCCTTTTCTTAGCTAAATTGAATCCCCTCTAAAACCCCGTAATTGCTGAAATGCCATTTTAAAATTACAAAGGGAGTCAAAGCAGGGAATGTTCTCATTTCAACCGGGGAATATTTCTCTTTAGCACTGAAGTGCATTCTCCTCTGAAGAGCAGCAATCCTACTGCCTCCAGTCTCATTCTTCCTACATAAAACTCTTCTTGATTGCCAGCCCTGCCCACCGTGGCCTCTGGGACCTAAGAGGAGTTACTCTGATGTGCCATCAAGCCACAGCAGCTCTGCAGCCTCAACCAGGATTTCAGCAAAGCTGCACAGCATCGTTCTTTGTCAGGGTTTTAGCACCACCTACACAACCTGCCCTGAATACCTCCGCGCTTCTGCCAAGGACTGGAACAAAATATATATTTATTTTATTGATGCATGAAGAGGGACAGGTTCCAATTCACTCCTCACTGGCTCTGACAGAAAAGCACCTGCCACTAAATCAAACATAAATAACTCCAAATAAGCCAAGCAGCTCTGCAGAGTAAGAAGCCGACATTTTAAACAGCCGCTTTTCTGAGCGGAATAAATAACTTTAAATGCTTTGCATTAAACACCTCTGGTGCCCCAAAGGGACCTTTATTTATAAAATATTGTGTACAAGTCACGAGAGGACTCCTGCTGCACTCATTTATCCCACAAGAGAAATGTGCATGTGATTTCATTATAGAAAGCGATACCTTTGAGGCACCGTGTATGTTTATATTTATCTTGCCCATTTACATTCTCTACCATTTCATTTCAAATGCACCCATAGGGTATGTTGAATTTCAAAAGAAAAATCAGTCCTTTTCGGTTAAGAGGCATGTCTATTCTGTACAGAGCATACAATACCACAGCAAGGACTTTTCCACAGCAAGAGCTTAATTACTCAAGGGACTTTTATAAAAGAGAAGCACTCACCGTAGACTGCATCTTCTGCAGCTCCTTTAGAACAAATTCTACTTTTTTCTGGGTCGTGAGAGAAGCCAGCAAAGCCCCGTTGGATCTGCAGGACAGTTTGGCATGATCATAGTTCTCCTTTGCATTTGTAATTTTCAAGCAGGAGTTGCCAACCAAATGCCAGTTGGTTCCACAGATATTTTCTGGGGAGGGGAGGGAAAGAAAGTAAACCCAGAGATGCAAGTGACCTTTACAACGTTCAAAGCAGTGAAAGAGCCCTTCCATCAAAAGAAAAGCTAAAGCTTCGTCCCAAACCAGCGTGACTTATCGGCATGATTAGAAATATCTATATATAAAAATACTGGAGGATAAAAGAAAGCTGTTTTGGGGAGCTGAAGTGTGATGTCAGCATTTAGTTATCTGCAGTAGGTAGTCGAAGCACTTATGACATCAAATAGTAAAATCATTGTAGAAGAGCGAGCAAAGGAAAGCAAATGAATACTTTGCTGATGGCTTAAAGCCACTTATTCCACCGCAGTTGTTAGGATACCTCTTGACAGAAGAGGGCTATTGTGCTAATCCTGTCCACAACATCTGACTTCCAGGATTAATCCCTGTTTCATCTCGAGCACAGCCATGCCCACTGCTGAAAAACTCCTCAGACTTTGTGGTTAATCATTTCCCTCACCCTTAACCACCCTTACAAAAAAAAACACCTGATGGACATTTGCAGTGTGAATTTCTGCAGAGCTGCTGTCTGCCTCCAACATCTTGGTTTAGATTTAGCTAACAGATTGAAAAGCTCTCAAGTGTCAATTTTTCAGATGGGCTTTCTACACACATGAGCAAGTCACTCCCTTTTCTACAACAAATTAAACAGTCCAAGCTCTTTGTCTATCTCATTAAAAGATGTTATTCTCGCTCTCATGGCTCTCCTCCGAAGCCTCTTCAGCTTTTCACTCTTCCAGAGTAGCAAACACCTGATCTGGACACGTCCAGACCTATGAGAGTTACTAGGGAAAGGTTTCCCGTGCCCATTAAAACATCCTGTCTGTGTTGTTTTTTCCCTTTCTCTGTATCTTACTAACTGCAAATGTGAATCACTGAAGAGGCTGGATTTCTCTCCCAGACACTAGGATAAAAAAAAAAAGTTACTACAGAAGGGCTAATCATCAACTCCTGTGAGCTCCCACTGGAAACACTCTAATAAGAGAATTTTCCTTATACACTTTAGGTGCTATTTGCCTAATTTGTCCAGTATGTGCCATTACGCTTTTGCACAATTCTAGTTTCTAAAATTAAATAGCATGCATTATTAAATCTAATATCTTGCAGAAGCCTATTATATCAACAGTACTGCTTTTACCAAATGAAAAGAGAGAGATGAAATACAGCCTAATAATTATACAAACGATCAGACTCCTCTTCAGACAACTGGGACTGAAAAATGTTCCAGACGACTTGCTGAATTTACTAAAGTTTCATACCAAAGCTGGTATGATTAAACAACATTACTTACTCCAGATTAGCATGAGAAGATTACAGATTTGGGGGTAAAAAAACACAGACAAACAAACAAAAACCCCACAACTTTTGGACTAGGTGAATTTGTTTTGTTTTGTTTTGTTTTTTCTTACACAAATACAACCCATACCTACCTGGTAAAGCAATGCACTCCTGATTCCTAGGTTCCCACTGACAGTTTTGATCCATGGCACAGCTTTTACAACTTGTCTTTTTGTTACAGTAATAGGCAGGGTTATCCTTAGGACAATTGTCATAGAGAGTAATAGGAACCTAAAATAAACAGCACAGATGAGGCTTTTTCCCATCCAACCACTGTCGGTTTATAACAGCCACGACTACCACACTAAACTTCACGGTTCAGACCCAAAAAGCAACCTATATATTCAAGAGCTGTGACACTGGACGTAGCCTGTACTGTGTATTCAAGATATTCCCCCAAGGCACCATCTGACACATTTTCCTTACTAGAGCTTTTACAACAGGGTTATGTTTTTCCCTAGGGAAGGCTCTACCGACAGTAAACCCAAATGGCTATATGCCTTACTGAATAATCACAGCATCGTGTAACCTCCACCTCTTCCCCTGCCATAGCCATCCTCCTAACTTAAGTGGAGAGTCCCATGAAAAGCCCATGGACCAACTTGAAAAAAATTCAAGCACATTAGCAGTTTAGAGCTAGACATGCACTGGAAATAACAAAACAACAGGGGTCATAACACAGACAGATGAAGGCATCTAGGAATATGGTATTTCAAAAGGCTAAATTTAAACTACAGAAGTATTAGAGAGACTTTACCTGTTCCTCTGTGCAGTTGTTATGCATTGAGATACACTGGTCAGTGCACCATTGACAGTTGTTTGTATTTGCTGTACAGCTATAGCAGTCTGTAATCTGATCACATTTTTCATTGTCTACAACTATTAAAGAAAAAAACCTGCATGACCAAAAACAGACATTTCCTGACAGAGCTCTAAGAACTTGATTATATATAGCAAAAGACACAACCAAACAGCAGTGCCTGTAGATTTTCCATTATCGACTACTTAGTAAATCAGATACTTTCATGTGATTGAACTGATAGAAAATTGCATTCATTTGCAGCATCAATCACTTCTAGTGCCCACAGAGCTGTAAAACACACCACCAGAAAATGCACCGAGACATGGAAGCGTGCGAGCTAAGGCCAGGCATGTATGGTCAGTCATTTCACGAGGACATTTCACAAGGATGGAGAACATCTCCCACCGCAGACCCATTCTGATGCAAGCCTGGCCTTCAATTATGTGAAGCATTTTCATGCAAAGCTTGAGCTTCCCATTTCATCTTTCCAATTACTTATCGCCTGTGTTTTGTGAAAATTTATTATACATTGAGAGCCCATCAAAGCAATGTCCTTTACATCAATTTCTTTTAAATAATTAAAGGCTGCCATCTATTACAGAATCAAGGCGGGTATAATTCATTTCAGAGCAATGAATGCATCAGGATAAAGCACTGAAAAGTTTGTTTTAAAATTATCATAAGGGAGAACAGAGGAATCAGACCTTAAACATTGTTTTTGTGTGCCCCTATCTATACAACGATGTAGAAGTAGAACTAAAGCAATTTTTCTTAAAACAATCTCCCTGCTGTCTCTCTTGAAGAGCACAGGATAACCCCGCAGGGCCCAGATCCCCCTCCCATGCCCCGTGTTGCTCATCAGCAAACTGCTGGCTCTCACAAGGTCAGCTCTTGGAGCAGACATCTACAGAGCAACGGTCCCGGCCCGGTTCCTGACTGAGGATGTCGGTTTGGGATAGGTACGTAAGTACAAGCAGTGCAGTAGGAAGAAAAAAAAAAAAAAAAATAAAAATCTAACGAGCAAGCGGCTTCAGGGGGCTGGAGAGGTGGAAACATCTCCAAGCCACTGCAGCCACTTGCTCAGAGGAAGGTGTCCCAGGGCACGTACGGGAGCAGAACTACATCCCGCCATCTTAAACGTGATCTGACAATGGCACGCACCTAATGCAAGATGGAATTCGGAAAAAAAAAAAAAACAAAAAAACAAAACACCCTACACGGGTCTACAGACCCTACTTTTTGGAAAAGGAAACGGAAAGAATATGACACATACCTGTCTTGGGAGGGCAGTCTTCAAAGACCTTTTGCTGCTGCTCCACCGTCGCCATTTCCCAGGGGACGCAGCGAGGCGGGGCGGCAGCCCACACGCACCTGACGCCAGGACCGGCCCGCACGCAGGCCGTCTCGTTGTCAAAAGCCTCGCACCTCTCGGGTGTGTACTTCAGTATGTCACTCAGGAGGAGGCTGTTGAAGCCTCCAAACACATACATGGTGCTAGACAAAATGCGAGCAAAGATATAAATACCTGTGGCCCGTGTTTATTAACCGTGCGCCGCTGCAAGCCGATGCGATTCAAGATGAGGGCAAAGTGTTTTTACGACACTCCAGCATGTATAAATTCAAATAAATAGCTCTTGGTTAAGGAAGGCACTAAAGGAAAGGTCAGTCAAGTCCCACTGTTTCGGAGAAGCCGGAGGGTCGCAACACCTGGGTGTTGAGACAGAGTCAAACCTATCCAAGGTCATGGACCAACCTTCCCCTGCAGCCAAAACGCTGGGTGACACCTGATCAACAGGACCATGCGTGAAATGCTGCAGAAATGCGGGATCCTCCTGCGAAGAACAGTGGCAAGGAAGGGAGGGGAGGCTGAAAGTCAGGGAGACTGTATCACACCGCTAAACCAGCCTTCAGAAACTGTGACGAAACAATTCAGTGTTGTCACGTCTCGCTACAAAACCGCAGTTATTTTCATGGCTGTTAGCAAGTGAGCAGAGTCATTGTGTCCACCAAAAAAAACCAAACCAACAAAACCCAAAACAAAATAATATTGGGGGCAGGAAGCGGCTTTTTTCAACCTTCTTTAGTATCACAACCGCTTCAGGCAAAACATCAAATTTCATCAGTTACACAAAAATGCCACCCAAAAAACCCTGCGCGTCCACGGCTGTAAATGCACATTTAAAAAGGCAGTTAAAAAGAGTCAATGCAACTGAAAATAAAAGTTTGGGTTGAATAGTAAGTATATTTTAATCCTAAAACAGGATGAAAAGAAGAATTAATGCACAGCCTTAGTTATCTTTCAAGGAAGCAAACATGCAGCTGGTATTCAGTACACGCTGGAACAAGTAGGTAGTGAGCTTTTAGAGACAAAAGGAGTATCTAGAAGCACACTTTCCTTTTCAAGGCAGTGACAGTTATCTGCCTGGCTTAAACAAAGCTTTAAATAAAGTTCCTGATTTACAGAAAGTATCCTCAAAGGATCAAGGAACCGGAATGAAAAACTCCTAAGAAATATAATTTCTCAAACTTGGTTCCACAGACTCAGATACAATAACGGACGTTCACCTGAGAGCACAGATATTATTATAGAGATATAACGCTTAACAGCAGAAATCTCATGATGATTTCACCTACAAAGTGTACATCATGTGACTGGTAAGGAAGAGACACACAGCATAAGCGATGTAAACTGAAGCATGGATGAATTCAGAAACCGTGAGGGAAATTACGACTTGGAGGTAAAAGCTGTCACTGCAGCTAAATAAAAAACGGAAATACGAAATAAACGACATTACAAAATTATGAAAGAATTGAAATTACAAAACTGTAAGTAAGAAATGGAAATACAGGCATAACTAAGAAAAGGAAGAGAAATACAAAAAAAAAGCAAAATTTTTGAAAGAATTAGGTGAGCTGGGACAGTTTACTGCACTGAAGAAGAAAGGCTGACATGGACAAGTGAATACTGAAGACATTGCAAGATCTGAGACCTTTGAGAGGTTTGCCACAGTCTGGTCTCAGTGTTAGTGTTCTACATGTACCAACACACACGTGCACTGACACACACAGGTGTGTAAGTTTTTGGGGGTATGAAAACACCCCCCAGGTTGTTTGTAACCTCACCTGTTGTACAGCACAGCAGAATGTCCGAACCTGTTCACATCGTGATGGAGACCCGGGCGAGGAAGAACAGACCACCGATCACAGGCTAGGATTAAAGGAAGCTCATTTCAGGAAAGTCCCTCAGTATAATTAACGACTGAACTTAAATAGCACATTTCTTCCCGAAAGAACTTTAATAACTACAGAGAGACCATTCCACCCACCACCAAAACGCAGCACTTTGGTAAACTGTCCCGTTTCACCCAAGTGCTGCCTTATCATCTTTTGCAAGATTGAAGACTCAGTCTTCACCCCACCAGCCACGGTATGACACAAAGGGAAGGGAAGGACGTGACGGCTCTGCTCCATCAGCTAAAGAGCTCATGAAAAAAGGAAAGTTTCAGGGCATTGTGTTGAAGGTGTTATTAGCTTTTTGGCAATCACGTGTAATTCAACGGTGGCGGCTTGAGTTGCTTTATCTACTTTACTAGTGGAATGTTTCACTGCATAACAAGTTCAGGTTTTATCTGTTTATATATGTATTACGTGCAGTTTTGCCCCAAACCAGTATCACTGAGAACAGAGACTCCCCCCCCCCCTCCTTTGCAATTATTTTTCCTAGAGGGTAGATATCCATGTTTTTAAAAACATTTTTCACTCATCATAGCTTAAGGATTTGTAGCTGTTTTTTTCTCTTAATATAATGTGAGATTATTCCATCTTTTTCTATTAGCATAACATTTTTAAGTTCTGCTTCATTTTTTACTTGGTTTCTCAGGTAATTTCTTCCTTTAGGCAGCGTGGAAAAAAACAACCTAAGAAACATATAACCCACTGAGCAATCAAAGGAACAAAAGCAGGAAAAGTGAGTCCAATTCATATCACTTAAACTTCATAAAGTAGAATGGGATCATCTTGGGGGCTAACGTCCCAGAGGTGGTTGCACGCAATTTATGCAATTAAGACAGAAAAGTCAATCTGCTGTGAAGATCTACAGAGCCCTCAAATACTCAAAGATTCTTTAAAGCAAGATAAAACTGTTGTGCTGTGAACCGAACCTCACAAAAAAAAAAATCCCCAAACTACTACGTAGATAACCGAGAGGGCAAAGAAAAAGCACCTTAATAATTTTTTGCCAAATTTACTTGGAGAATTGTTGGGTAAAACAACTGATCCTAACCTCTGCTGGAGCAGAAACTTTTGTTCAAGAGTGTTTATCAATAAAAGACATAAGACCCAGTTGGTTGGACTTAATACTTTGATAAATTGTGATTTTGAAGTTTATTTTTAAACACGATTTGCTCAATTTTCAAAGAATTTCACTTAGCCCAGCATCACTTCTGAGACAAACATGCATGGCTCCAATCTTTAACAAGAGACTTCAGCAAAATTGGACAGCAATTTGAAGCATTTTATCCATCAAGTTGTGAGTTATGTGAGTCCAAGAAACATATTTTTCTAGATTAATAAAAGGCCTGGAATGTTTTGCTTTCTAAGCTTCTTTCCCATCTTTAACTGAAGATCAAGTATTGGAAAAAATGAGTAACTCTGGAACTACAAAGAATCTTCTCCTTTTCGACTTATGAGTTAAGCCAAGCCTAAAATTTACAGTGCACAGGATTTATTAAATAGACTATTTAAATAGAACACATATGCTATGAAAACGTCCAGCCTCCTTCCATGTTTGTCATCAGAACCGAATTTTTGATGGGGTAAACAGGAAAGCTTTAACCTCTCTCCCATGGGGATTAAAGATCATTACACAAGTACAGCACATTTCATGCCGAGTTATTTTAAAAAAAAAGAAAAAAAAGGTTAAAATTTACTTAGAGAAGTATGGTTACTTAACCACTGTGAGTAACTGCATTTTGAGACAACCTGCCTGGGAAGTTCCCATTCCTGTTCCAGACACATCCCATAGGCAAGGGAGGTGGCCCTCTGGGGAGCCCAGCCCTCGCTTTTTCACGCCTGGAGACGAACGTGTAGCCACGGAGGGGCTGCAGCTGCCCCCCTGGCTCCTTGGCTGCTATGACTTGTTGACGGGAGGAGGTAGAGGATTAAACAAGGCATTTTGTCCACCCAGAGGCAAAACTGCTGCAGAGCAGAAAAACCTTTGACGGAGGCCAGAGAGACTGATTTGGGGGATGGGAAGCGCTAAGTAGGCACTGCAGCGTGCAACATAGGAAAAATATCGTGCGACTGCTCTACCCAAGCACTCGGCCAACCTGAACGTCAACACAACCCAAAATCTTGTCCCGAGGAGCAACAAGAAGTGCACACACACACAGACAGCCGGATTGCTACCCCGAAACCTTCCAGGACCGGGCATTACCTGGACAATTCGGTTTGAATATGCCTCAACACGGTCAAGTGGAGGATAAAAGGATAGATGTGAAGCATTAATGCATTCTCAGATCTACCTAATCTGCTAAACCCCCAGAGAAACTCAGCGCACATCTCAGCGACATCTGTTTGCATCCCACGCACACACAAAAAAGAAGAGAATATGTCCTCACAACACCCAATACGTGTGGTCTGATTACTCAGAAATTTGAGGAGAGAAAAATGGAAAAAAATCTCATGAGGTAAATAAAACAAGTTGTTGCAGAAATAAGTTTTAATGGCAAAGGTTAGAGAGAAGACCTGGGTTTGCAGACTTTTATTTTAAACTGTGTTTTAATCACAGTTTTCTCCAGTCTTCCAACCATCGCTACCATCACGAAGATACTACCTTCATCAACAAGATGTTAAAATTAGCAAATTAGCAAGACAGCATACTACGAAATTAAGGAGTATGGCAGCCAATTACTAAGCCTCAGTACCAATCGACCTTGCTGCCTGGTTTTCCCCTGTGTAGCTTGAGCCTTGGGAGCATTAAGGGACAGATATCAAACACATAAGCGTGCTAATATTAAAGATGAGATAGTCATATCCACGTATGGTGGTCCTTGGTATTTACAATGCTTCCCCACAGCATCTGGGCTTACTCCCGTGGAGACCAGCATGAACATGATCAGTGTGATTCCTGCAGAGACCATACATGAAGAATCACCAAGTAGTTGCTTCTGCTCTGACACTGATGACCAGCCAGCACCCTAATGTATTCCTGGTAGTGCTCCTGCTCCGATGGGATAAGGCAAATCATGCCTAAGGTGTCCTGCCATGAAAAGAATAGAAAAAGCATTCTTTTTTTTTTTTTTTCTGAAAAGAGGCTGGTCTTTCCAGGCTGAGTCTCTGCCCTAAGAAATGAGGGTACCCAGAGCACCAGAACACCTCTCATCCCTGTGACATGAAGGGCAATCAATGCGAGTTCTAATTTTCAACGTAAAACTTCTAAGGACTAGGCAGATTGACTACAACATTTATTTCATTTAACAGGAAACTGCCTGTTAACTAAACTGAATCAAAATGAACATAATTATTTTCATACGTTGTCAAATGAACGCAATTTTGTGTTTTACACCTAATAGAGAGTTCAATAGGTCAGGGAAGATGGCAAAATGTAGCAAGAAAAATTTACCACTGCTGCCATCAAAGTTTAAAAAAATTACTCTCTCCATGACAGCTAAAATAAGGTATTTATTAATACTTCAAGATTAATTCTTCAACCTTAATTAAGATTTTCATTCTTCAAGAAAAAACTCAAAATAAAGCTAGCTAGGAGCATACAATAAATTCCACAGGGATACAACCTAAAATCACAGGAAAAGAAGGGGATGATCCCTGTAACAGACAGCAAAATGAAACAAGGATGCCAAACCCTGCTGCTGAAAGCAATCCATGCCTTGCATATTCCTTTCCCAAACCAGGAGTGACATCTCAGTGGTCAGTCACTCCGCGAATTCAGGTTTACGTGATTACTTCAGGGAATCAATCAGGAGACCCCACATTTAAGGAATTCTGAGAGCAGAAGGGAAAATGTGATACGAGTACAGAATGGTGTTTTTCTCCGGCGTGAACTATCTGGATGTGCACGCACCTTCTTTTATATAATTTCATCTCTTTCTCTTTTCCTCTTCTTAAATGCACCGTCTCTGGATTCCAAATTGACAAATAAATGCTGCCCTCTTCTGGCTATTCAAACTCATCAAAACCCAACCCTTCCAAATAAAATCTAATCCTTCGGCTTTATTGTTAAATAGTGCTTATGGGGATATTTATGCTTATAAAGCACACATATAAACAATCTGACATTACAAACAGCGCAGCCAAACAAGGCAGCCAGCCTGCAAAACAAGAGTGTGCAATATATAAGCTGAGTTTCAGCAGGGTCCAGTGCCTGTAACTGTCCTAACAGCCTGCATTTTTGATAAATCGCAGATTAAAACACACCCAAAACATCAGGATAGCTTTATGGCTGAGGCAGTAGAACAACATGCTTTCTGTTTAAGAAATAATTTTTAACGCCCATGGTTGTGTATAAACGGTTGACCAAATAACTGCTGCTGTATTTGCCTAGAAATCACTGCACCAGCTCATTTGCTCGGTAATGTGTAGCAAGCTAAATGAGCCTCTCCTGATTACACATTCTTCTGCAGCATGCTTAGAGTAGCATTTGGTATAATATCCTTAGCATGTAAATTAGTCTTCAAGACGACAGCTCTTTTTGACTATCCAAGAATTTTTTTTATTATTATTATTTCTGCAAGAACTTACCAATATCATACGCCATAAAATCCGAAGAAAAGCACTTTGCGCCATGGCTCATGGAGGTGTCGTTGTGCGTGTTCCCTCCAAACACCAGCATGGTTCCACTCATTATCACAGCCGTGTGCAAATAGCGAAAAAATCTACTGTCTTTAAGAATAGTCCTTCAGAAATAAAAACGTATGCATTAACGAAACTGGTTAGTACCTGACAAAGACAAAACAAACCATAAATCCGAGTTGAAGGAGGTTTCGGGATGCAGGGAGGAGGGGGGGGATAGCAGTTAACTACTGCTCCTAACGAGGTATTTATCAACTTTCCACACTATTCAATTCCTCCTGTAATTTCACTGTCTCATCTTCCCATCTGCTTGCCAATTTATAGGAGAAATATATCTATGAAAGCCTCTCTCCAAAGCTATGGATCTTAAAATCATTAATTCCTTCCCTAGTGTGAAAACTTGATAATCTCTAACTGGGCTTTTGAGCACAGTCAGCTCAACCTGCTGATCTGGACACTGCCTGGGAGGACTCCAATATTTTTTAGTAACTCTACGTTTGTGGTAACCTAAAGGATTCTTTTAAACCAGGCATCACCTGCTGCTCAAAACTAACAAACCTATTTTAAGGAAATCTGTGCAGCTGCCAATAACGGAGCCCTGCAGCCTAATACCTGCAGAACACAACGCCTCATCCATGACTAAATCACGGGAAGCATTCATCACACTTGCCACTGAGCCCACCTTTAATCAGCACGATTAACGGCACTGAACACAACGGGTCACCCTCCGCAGAAGTTCCCTGCTATTCTGAGAGGGTGGGGATTGGAGGGAAACTCCGATGTGGCCACGTCTGTGTCGCGGGCAGCGGTGTCACACCAGCTCTGCAGAACACAGCTTGCACCGAAGCCCCGACTTGCAGGGTGAAATCTTCAGCAAATTAGGGACCTGCTCCTAAGGCACGAGAGCTGCGGTATCGCGGCACGCAGGGGCTTTTCTGAGCGCTGCCCTGTCCCTGCCAGGGCTACAGCCAGTCGAAACACCGGAGGGAACATGGGGAGAAACACACTTGCCAAAATAAAGATCAGAGGACTGCTTGTTTGCCCTCCCATGAAATCACAAGAGGGGGAGAAGGCCTAAATTACTGAAGACTTAAAAAAAAAAGGAGTAAATGGCACCAAAAAAAAAAAAAAAAGTATAGATAAAGATGAGCAGACACTCCTACGTGTCTCGCTGCAAGGCGACTGCTCGCCTGCTCTGACAGTCCTCCCGAGACTGACAAAATAAATGCGATGAAAGGAAGTTGGTGCTGCAGCAGTTTGGAAGAATACTGTCACATTTGTGAAATTTTCTGCCTATTCAGCCAGATTTCTCCGCTCCGCGGCTGAAGTGACAGATCAAATGAACCCAGAAAGGAAGCGCGGTTATTACTGCATGTACAACCGAGCAGGGAGGAAGGTTTGGGGAAATTAGTCACTAGTTACTTCACTCATCAGTACAGACTCACAAACAGTTGTTGCAGAAATACAAGATATTTTAAACCCTCAAAAAGAGAAATGTGGCGACTCAAATTTACATGTGCTAATTCAAAAGATCAGGCTTTGTGTCAGGAGCCTTTAAAAACAACTTTAAGAAAAGCGCAAAATTTAGGAAAATGTATTTCACCTCTATAGCTCAAAGTTGTGGAGTTTTGCTATAGCTTTTTAATAAAAGTCACCTTTGGGCATAAACAAATCACAGAAGATTTCAGCTTAAGAAATGAATGTTTCCAGCAGTTACAGAGCCAGAAGAAAATGGGGTTATAATAGAAATTCTTTTGCGGCCTTAACTGCAGAATGAATTATCACTCACTTGACTGCAGTAACTGCACTCATATGCACAGACTGTACTGCTGGCAAGAAAATCCCATCCAATATTTTCTTTTCAGCTTTAATACAACAATAGATTAAAATGGATTTTTTGGCTTGTTCACAGCCTTGATTATATGCGATTATATGATTCTCTATTCATAAAGGGACATAAAATAACAGACAGAAGAGCACACTGTCTATCCTGAATGCAGGTAACTACGCTCCAGAGGTCCCTTATCAAATACCCCCCCTCCACAAACCAAACTGACGGGGTGGTGTAGAGGAAGAACTACTTACCACATACGGGAATCAACTTCGTATTTGTACAAGTCATCTGCCAGCCTGTATTTGTTGGCACTGAATGCTTTGTATCCTCCATGGATATAAATTGATCTTGTATTTGGATCATAAACGCTACTGTGACCGTACCCTCCTTGCACCAAAGCGCCGCTCGTCTGTAAAATGTTCCATGTATTTGTGGCTGAGAAATGAAAAATGTGAGTGACAGACCATGGTTAATTTATCTCCAAATACCAACAAATCTGGTGGTGAAGCAAACTGGGTTTCCCTTGGCTCAGATCAAGGCACTGTCTCTATCGCTTCATACCCGCAAATATTCTCCTTCTAAGAGTTTGTTGTCAAGAAGTATTGTCAAGTATTTTTAATTAGACCAGAAATATCTTGTCTACAGTTGATTATTACATTTTGCAGACAAGCTAAGCAAATGAGAGATAAAAAAAGTACAGAAATAATATATTGCATTTCAATGACATGAAAATGTCAGAACCATGGCTTGATTTGGAATGGTACCCAGGAGCACTTTTATTTTATATATATAAAGCCAGACAGCACTGAAGCCAATTTAAGTATGACTGTGAAGAAACCTGCAGTTAAAAACTAATATGTGATTAATGGTCCTATATCTCACTCGCTAAAATAACATTGGTTTGAAGCACTCTAGACATAATATAATGGCAACTGAAACAAAAATGTTGAAAGACACACCAATTCCCTGCAGCACGTGCAGAATGAAACCCTACACAGGCTTCCTAACTCCAGGGCAAATCAGGCACACAAAAGGCGAAGGAATTTAACAATTTGTAAGATCACATGTGGGAAAACCAGAACAGTAGCGAAACAAATCACTGCCCCACACATCCTGCTTTTCTCTAGCTTTCTCCTGGAGGAAGAAAGCTCGCTCACGTGGACACCAGTGAAGCAGAGTAAGCTCCAGTAGATCCTCTGGATCGAGAGGACTGAAGGACAAGGGTAACAGGTTGGAAGTGCAGACAGGGCCAGTGTTTCTCACAATAACCAGCATATTCATGTTGTGAACATCCTGTGCTTAACTGTGCTCTCTACCAGGTCAGTGGAACAAGGGACACGCCTCCAGAGAGCCATTTCAGAGCACCTGAAGTGAAGATGTTCAGTTCAGCTGGAGAGCTGGTGATACTGGAAATCTCTGGATTCGAAAAATCAAAGTTTGGACTGTTCCCAGAGATACGGGGATCGGATCACATCAGAGAGATGGGAGTCCAGAAGCTCACTGCCCGTTCCCCTAAGCATTCACTACCGGGGACAAGGGTATCAGGTTAAGGAGATGCTCAGTCTGAATTGTTACAGCCGCTCTTGTATTCACAGGATACAAAAATAATTTCAAAAGTGTTTGTCAGAGGGAGAGAGGAAAATGAATCTGAACTGTCCCACAGTTATCCCGCTTCGTCTCTCAGTTACAGCTTTTTTTGTATTTGGGACCTAACAAACTGTATAAAGCTGGAGGCAGGCGGCTGCCTGCTCACTCTGTGTTACACAAACACTGGAAGTTAGACTGAACTTCTTGTAAATACACACAGAGAAGAACGTATCTGCGTTTTGCTATGTGAACACGGATGGTTTAAATGCTTTTCAAACCAACTGAACGGTAAGTAGGGCCCCACTCACCCAGGCTGTATTCCTGGACATTGCTGATATACCCGTAAAGAGGACAGTGCCCAAAGATGACGAGCATGACCGCGCTCCCGTCTCGCAGGGTGACGATGTGTGCTGAATGCCCAACAACAGCATACTGCTCCTTGGCTTTCGGCGTCGCTTGAGTCCAGGTCTGGGTGGGAATGTGGAACACCCACAGCTGGCTGGTCACGTTCCCCGTCGCATCTAATTTTCCACCATACATGTATATATCATCCTGAAAGCAGTTAGAGTTAAAATGAGGCCAACGAGTTGGGCATTTAGGAAAGGGCTAATATCTAAGTAATTAAGTTATTCTATTTTATCTTCTCTCGGCCTAAGTTTTTCCCACCTCTCAAGGAAAAACCTATCTCCTTCACCGGTCACATTTGATATAAAAGCAACCACGACTGCCAAGGTTTGTACCCAAAGTCCATAACGTCAAAATACCTTAAACACACACAATTCCCCCTACATCAGTGTACAGAGGGGAAGAAGTGCATGGGGCAGGATTGACCTTCAGATGACAGACATAAAACTTTAGGTGCCTGTATGCTAACTGAATGTCTAAATATATATATATATAAGTTATAGTGGAGCCTGGAGAATAATTCAACAGATCCAAAGCAGCAAAGGTGTGCCTGCTTTTGGGTGAGCTGACTTGCTCTACAGATTTCACCACCTGTACTGACTAGGTCTGTTTTCACTGTAAACGGAGCTCAGAGGCTCCCAAAGGCACCCCAAGTTAAGCATCTGAAATCGGGTGATTTAATAAGCAAACCAAACCCCTCCCATAGCTTGCAAATGCAAACAGCAGAAGATAGCAGGGAAGAAAGGCAGCTGTGATGGAAACCACTCCGTGTGTGTACGTGAAAAGCTTTGTTCTTCCAAGTTCATGCACTGACAAAAAATGAGGACCCTTCTAGAAAGAAAGGAGCCAGGACAGTCGGACAGAGTTTTATTCATCATCTTGTAAAAGCTAAGTCCCTAAACTCTATCCAGTTTCCTTTGTGGGTTTCTCCAGGCAGAGTCAGTCATAAATCCATCAAAGTGTGCAGTGGAATCCAGTCTCCCTAATGACAAGGTGATAATCTCAGAAAGGGAAATTCTCTACTATAGCTGGTGCTTCTTGGGAAATTCCTGAGAACCACTGCCCATCACTGATGGTAAACGCATTTATCATCCCCTACTTTTAAACAGTTATTTGCAGAATGTGCATCGAGCCCTCACAGGTAGGAATTTCTATCCTTCCAGGTTCTTCAAGTGTTCTGCTTGTGAATGGTGCTGTGTGGATTTTTTCAAGTGTCTATAATTATGCTTTATATAGGCTTGCACTGTGATGATTTAATTAACGTTCCAAAACCAAAGGTCAGCAAAGGATTAGCTCATTTCCTTTTCAAACACTTTGCCATTCTGTTCTCACATGGCCTGCACCCAGGTGCAGGTGAGAAATTAAGTAAGAAGCAGTCAAATCCACTTGGCATTTCAGACGCTGGAAAAATAGATTCATGGGTCTACTGCAGAAGCAGAGCAGGCTCCAAAAATCCCTAATTCATCAGCTCTGCTTTGGTGCCTTGGACAAGAGAGCTCATAAAAATATTTATGTGGTCTACACAAAAGGCAGCTGGGGAACCAGCTGAACTCCAGTAAACTCTAGCTGCCAGGCACATCTTGCAAGCACAGACAGTAAGAAGGAAATAATGGACTCACTAACCTCAGTCAGCCTTAAAATCTCTGAGAAAAGGGCAAAGAATGAACACACAAGCAAAGGCACTACAGACTTCCTAGGATACGAGTCCAAGGATTCCCTGGAGTACGAGTACACAGGCTGGACTCACCACAGACAAGATTTTGTATGAGAAATGCTTCTCCCAGAGCAAGATGGATCTGTGGAAAGGGGTGGAGAGCAGAGGGGAGAAGGGGAAAACAGCCGGGAGGTGAATCTGAAGTGCTGAACTCACCTTATATAATGCCAACGAGTGACCGTATCTCATCTCTACAGAGTTCACAGTGTTGTCCAGTGGAAGCCACTCTTCAGAAATAAGATCATACCTGTATAATAAAAATGGAATTAATTCCCCAAGTAGCAGATATTAAAGTTCAGGAAATTATTGCTCACCCTTTCCAGGATTTGTGGGAAATTATTTAACAAAAGTCTTAGATACCAGGATTTCAACGTGCACAAAGCATGCACAGACTATTTATGAATTAAAAAAAAAATCCAGTCAAGCCTGCTCTGTTACTTAATGTCGACATATTGATTTGCTCTACTCTGAGTTTTCTTTCCCAGGCAAAAACAAGAGCTAATGCGTTGCCTGTTAAGTTATAACAACTTACACCACACAAACCACCCAAAAGAGCAGAGAAACTTTCTGCTAAGCTCAGATAAGTTCCAACTACTTCGTAAAAAAACCTGCCAGTGTTTAAAAGGCATTTTTAAATTATGTCTTTGTCATTCAAGCATATTTTTTTATGTGAACTTGAAACAAGATAAACCCTTTCCCCTGAAAACGGCCTGTGGCTTTTTAGATAAAAGAATGAACTATACTCGCCAGGTTTACAGCCTTATAAGATAAAATAATCTCTGAGAAAGTGTTCAACGAAGCCACAGGGTATCTGTTGAAAAATCAGGCATGACTTTGAAAGAGCAAATTGTGGATGTAATCAGCAACTATTCTACAACTAAGGGTGCATTTTTGGCTCCTCTTTAATTTCCCCTACAAGAGCTATGACCTCTGGACGTGAGTGCAGAACACACAGCTCTCCCTTAGGTTCATGAAAGCGAGGTGTACAGGTATCCTAAAAAAAAATCCAGATCTGCCCAAATACTATCAAGCTCAAGAGGTGGCTTGAAATGTTTGGGGTTTTTTGTGGGGGATTTCCACCAGGCAGACAATTATTATTTGATATCTTAGTTACTGTTAAATCTCCTCAACTAACTGCAGAAATGTCATCATCCTAAAAGCCACTCCCTGTTTGGTATCCCATCCACTATGGGCAAACATCCACAGTAATCAGTATGACTTAATTAAGAAGCCAAACACTCTGAAGTCACAGAGATATAAGGAAGGGTTAAAAACACAGAAGCAAAATTAACCTCTTTGAACACGAGGCCAGATAAAATTTAGAAGCTAGCCTAGAAATATATATAGTGAATACTTAAATGCTGTCATAAGCAGATGAATCAAAAATTCACTGAACATCAGGAACCTTACACTTCTTCTTTTCCAAAATTAGCACCCCTTAGCAGCGTGTTCCCACATCTCAAACATGAGTCTAAGTTTTTATTACTGCTGTTTTCCCCTGGAGATGGAGCGTAGGCCAAAGCACAGCATGTCGGATGGCATTTTCTAAAAATAATTCCCAAATCTAAGTTCCTCTACTTAGACTTTATTATCTCAGTTTATACTCACGCTAAAACCTTCTGAGAGTCAGAATGATTGAAGACATAGCCTCCAACAACCCACATTTTATTGTCATGGATTACAGTTTTATGAGATGCTCTGGGAAGTTTTGGAAGTGAGTGTTCCTCCCGGGTCCAAAACGACTGGTTTGCAGGAACAGGAATAGAACAGCCAGGCCCTGAGGAAAATAAGGTTTAAAAATTTAGCTGAATTCTTCCCCAAAGCCTCTATTTCAGGTGGAGGTCAACACCCTGCACCATCGGTGACAAAGATGGTGCCTGGCCAGGTAAGAGGTGGAAACTGTGGTCCTCGACTCCTTGCCCGCACCAGCCGTCTGTGATGGACCTGGTGTGTGATCTCCCAACCGTAACCACACACCTCAAATGTAAAACGGTTTTCAGAACTAAAAAGCAGTCCCCGACTAGATGATGCAGGAAAGCAGATACTCCGTGCTGTTCTCCCCCACTGTGATTTTAGGGGGGGCACGGTGCAGACCCCTTCCCACACCACAGTAAGAAGGAATCTTCCAGCGCTTATCTGGCTGCCACGTACCCACAGAAGCCCCAACACAACCTGCAAAACCTTCAGGCGACCTGCTCAGCAATATGCTATAAAAACCCAAGGGTCTTTGGCTATCTTTCCCTCTTTTCATTCCTCTCCTCCTCAGCAATATATTTCTGTGAACTGTTCACTTATTTTTTTTTTCCTGAATTCCTGCTTCGCTGAAACCAACTTTTTTGGCTGACAGTTCCCCAAGCCATGGCAGAAGAGGAGCAGGAAGCGGCAAGGTCTCAGCAAAATAAAAAGCCACACGGATGCTCTCCCTTCTTCCCAGTGACCCCCCCCATCCACACACACAGGGTTACCACAAACAACCGAGAGCAAAGAACCTGCTGAAGAGGTTCAAGCCTTCGAAAGGGAATAGGTTTATCAGGACAGCCTTTAGGGGGTCATAAAAGGGAATCGCTGTGTAACAGAGCTGTGGTCTCAGCTGTAAGAGATAGTATCTGCTCCTTCTTGCTGAGTTTCTACCAGCGGTAATCTCCAGTTGAGGAAAGCAGACTGGAATTTGGTTTATTACCCTTGAAAAAACACCTGGTTTTTGAGGCAGAGTGACCATTTTCAGATGTAAAAAAGTTTCAGAGGAAGAAAGGGGAGAGCAGCTTGCATCTCATTCTGCTACGGTTTGTTTTAGGGCTTTCGGGGGGTTTTTTGGTGGGTTGCTTTGGTTTGGTTTGTTTGGTTTTTTTTCCCCATTACACGCTAGCCTACTACAGAAATAAAAGCCAGCTTAAAACCAGAGGTCGGCTAAAAATTGCGCAAACACAAGCCCAACTTTGCTTTCAGTGCACAACCCCAGAAAAGCATCAGGAGGCACTGCACTGCAGAAGGGGGGAGGTGATCTTCCAGCCCTGAAGTATTACCTGTGCCTGGTTTTCTATCCAAGACACAGACATGCCAACCTCCGTACTGGGTGCATCCTCCTCAAGATACCCATCGTGGCTTCTCCCCGCAGTGCCCAACATGCTGCCTGGTTTTGCAGCAGAGCTGAGTGCTGGTAGCAGGTGCTGCCAGTGCTGTAGCTGGTTGCATTTCCCATCAGACTAATTCTTCCACGTCAGTGTATCTTTGCAAAAGAAACACGTGCGTTTGCTCCAAACTGTTGCTAAGAGTGACCTGGCTGAAGAGCACACCTGGACGTGAGAACAAGGCTTTTTTGGCGTGTTCAAACAGGTTAACTACTGCCACCAAAGCTGCTTTAGGTGCACAGGAACGAGGTTTAACGTTTGTATCTCACGCCTGCACGCAACAGGTTGGTACTGCTTTGTATGGCAGCACGGCTGCTTTTAAAAGCATTTGTTACAAATGAAGGATGATCTTTTGATATGATAAAGCTAGATACCCTAATTCCTAGTCAAAACGCTAATACTTGTCAAACGGAACACTGTCAAATACTCCCAATTAAACTGCAAGAGCCGTACACAGAAAAGGCATCCAAGAGCTGGTCTGTATTACTCAGGAGACTTACCCTGCCAGCCTGCAGAGCACGAACATGCCTTGGTATCATTAATGTTGCAATTCCCTCTCTCGGGCGCCCCACAATCATCGGTGCAGTAGGGAATATCACAAGCTTCTCCCTTCCAGTATTTGGCACATTCACATTCAGGAGCACTGCTGCTGTTATTGAGCTTGCACTCTCCTCGGCCAGAGCAATTATTGGGACACATATTGAAACTGGGAACATCAGGGAAAGGAGGTTTGTCAGTAATGAAACAGATTCCCAAGCTGCACCCCTTATTAACGAGTACAAGAGTGATGGTGAACAAAATGCAACACGGCTGTTTGTTAACATACAAACCAACAAGAGCTGCTCAGCTAGAATCTGATGTGACGGGCCTGTAGAGATTTCTTCTCTATCACCTACAGAGCTGCCTCACTTCATGAGTTAAACTTACAACTCCTCTGAAAAAATTATCAATATGATTTCCAGCCATTTGTAATGCAAATGAATTGCCTTAAAACGCCCAACAGTAAGTGAAGAACTTAATCAGCGCTTAAGGCTTTTGTGGTGTCTGTGCAATTTATACTTAAACTACTCACAATTACGTGCTATTCTGGGATCTGCTTACCAAGGGAACACGCTTGAGATGAATCCCAAGCCAAAGATGTGCCTGTTTTGAATCATTTCAGATTTTATAATATCTGCAGTGTAGCTGAGGCAAAACCAGATACATCCTTGGTGAAGATCCAAATTCAGAGACCCTACTCATTTCCAAATTTCAGTTTTTGCCAGCATATCAACCAGTATAACTCACAGATGGGGATTACTACCCAATATCAACCTGTCGCATGACAGTGAGGAGTCACTGCCTCCCAGACCATAATTTCACAAGTGTCTGTCAAGCACCTACATCCAGTAATAACTATAAACGCCGTTAAACCGAAGGAAATAAATACACCCTTTGATCTACTCTCTGAAAAAATGTTAGGAGGGAACCTAATGACCAGAACACATAGGAAAAACAAGCCACAAAACAGTACTTGGAAATTGTTTGAAATGATCAAGAAAGCAAAGTGTTGAAGAAACGTTAAAATATCTTAAAGGAACTTAAAAAAGGCAGGTTATTCTCCACGAGAATGTTTCCAGTGTATTGCAATGATGCAATACCGACAGCTGGCGGGAGGTGGTGTCATGGTTTATAGGATCAGCCAGACTTTGAAAATGCTGCTGCTTCAGCTGCTGTTTCAAGTAACTTTGCAAAGGTTCCTCGTTTTCTTCTGGAGCTTTCAAGGGCTGCTAGACGCCTCGCATTTTTCAAAGAATCCACTGCATATCTATCTGTTTAATAAGCATGAGAGAACTGGGACTGGCATTCATAAAACTAAGCGCCTCATTTTAAGGCATTTCGATTTTTGCAAAAGTCAGTTGTGACCAAGGATTTTTGCAGCTGATTTTTTTTTTTTTTTTTGAGAGAGAGGTGAGAACTTCTAAATTACACTCAAATTAAAATCTCCCAGTGCAACAGAAACGTAATTTGTATCTGCTGGAGCAGAAAAATTTGAAGTCTATGATCCCCACCAGAAGCAAGAAATTCCACCTCTGCTAGTTCGTCCACACTGAAATAATTTACTTCAAAGCAAAACCTTTCTACAACCAATCAGTGAATGAGGGAATACCCTAGAATTATTTTTAAAAAGCTTATCAATGAGGAACAAATAGATGTTAGTGAACAGAAAGCACCCACCTATAATAGTTAAAATATGAACCAAAGAACATCACAATACCATTCCAGACTGAAAAGGAGACAGATTAAGCAATTCAAGGACTGAATAAGACAGAACATCCCAAAAAGAACTGCTAGAGGATCCTCAACAGTAGGTACAGTCCAGAGTCCCAAGTGAAATGTGTGTTTATGCAAAAGCAGGTTTGTGAAGAAGTATCTCTGCAGAATGCATAAGAGCCCACACATGCACAAAATATATCAATTCTGGTTGACTGAATATGATAAAATAAATCTAATAACATAAAATAAATAATGTTATGTCTTCTTGTGCAAACATTTGCCCACGCTTACAACTGACAACTGAAGTTAATGTTGAGTACATCACAGTTATTAGCCATTGCAAGGGTATAATAAAGATAAAAATCTAAATTCAAGTATCTACTCATAATTACATGCTTCAGTGGCAATTGCTTATTTCAAGACAAAACTGAGAAAAGAAGAAAACTCCTTTTGCTTCAACCAGCAACATCACTTTGGCATGGTACTACTTACTTGTATGTGATGTTAAACCCTGTTAAATTATAGGCAGCATCACTGAAGAAATGCAGAAGGGCATATCCAGAAGTAGCTACAACTTCTGGTACCGTTTCATTGCTGTCTTTCTCAGGAACAATAAGACCACTGGAAAAGGGAAAAAAAACAAAAAAACAAAACACAACACAACAAACAAACAAAACAAGGTTAGAAGTGAAATAAAAGGGAGCAAACCAACAATACTAAATAGATCAGTATGAATAGAACAATTGAAACTCAAGGTATTCATTTGCATCTACTTGAAATATAATGCATTGGCATAAAATAACCATCATTTTCACAGAGCAGTGTTATTGGATTGTTTTTCTTCAAGAGAACTCCTTAAATATTTAAAAAAAAAATGTCTCAACATTGTGAGTATACATACTCAACCAACCATCAGAACAACCTCATTCTCAAAGGTATAACCCTCTCAGAAAGATAAACCCACATTCTTCAGGGACCAGTTTATGAAGCCCTCTCGCTTGGCTTAATTATCTGCAACACAGTGGCCATGTTACTGACCACTGAGTGCAGACAAATTAGGATGCTGAGGCTATCGAGGGTGGCATTACTGCTGCCCTCAATAAGCACGACCTTGGTCTAAAAGAAGGAATAGCTGCACAAAGGAATGCAAATAGAAAACCCTGAAGTAATCAACTTGGCTCTTCTGGAAGATAAATGTATATTGAAGGTGTTTAACCTGAGTAAACCCGAGGCTCTTTACAATTCCAGTTATTATTACCAAAAATTTGATTTCCCTTCTTTATTATTCTGCAGTGATTTAAACAGGACCTGTTACTAAAACAAGGTGGCGTGTTTGAAAGCAGAAATCACTGTGTCCCAAAAGCATAAAACTTGCTGTACCAAGCCCAGCATCTCCCCCTGACTATGGGCTACAGCAGACGCTTGGGAACGACTGTGACAAATAAAGCAAGTACGGCACACTCTGGCGATGTGTTATCCAGCTTCCAGAAACCCACAGTTCAGGTGCTTTGACCTGGGGAATGCACCTGAGTCAGCACATTTAAATAAGTCATTCATCCATGCTTCTATCCTCTCTCGACCATTTATACCCTTTTCACCTGCAAAATCTGCAGCTGGGGGTCAGCACTAACTCTCCGATGGTAAAGGAAGGACTTATACTCTGCTTTACATCCGCTGCCTCATCATCCACCGCTGCCTCTTGGGCTTTTCCTCTAGGAGAAGTTAAGTGCAGTCACCCTTACTCACCATCTTCCTGACATCCACTCTTTCTTAAAAGCCCATCCGACTCATCGCATCCACATTTGTTGCCTTTTCTGTCCTAAAAGGCTGTCACGCTCACTATTCCCACCTCAGTCACTGCTTCACACTTTTGGTCACCTCTGGCTGTTTCTCTACACCCTTCCAGCTTGTGCAAGATTCTCCAGCCTCTTATTTTTCCAGGGGTGGAGGAGCAAGGCGAGGATGGAGGGCCAGACTATGTGCAGTATTTGAGATTGGAGGCAGTACATATTTATATAATGATCTGCCAAAACACCTGAAGTAAGCTGAAAAGGAGATTAAATGTCCCTTGAAAAGAGTAACTACTACCCTCTTTACCTAGTGCACAAAATAGTTTGCATCTGAAAAGGAATGTTTATTCTTCTTTTAACAGAAGCCTGACAACAACAAAACAAAGAAGTCAATTCCTCCCTCATACAAAAGCGATAAGAGCAAGCATAAATTTGAAGTCTATTGAATTTATTTTTCTAAAAGCCTTTATCTAAGCAAGGCGTGTTGTCTACCACCACCTATTCATAGTCAGCGGTTATTTTCTTGTACAGAACCATCTTTCCCCCAGCCTCGGTCGTATTTTCAAAGGCTAAGTCAAAGCTTTTTGCAAAGCAGTGACTCCAAATCCCAGAGCGGAGCTTGTCGGGCCGGGAACCGAAGGCAGCTCGGGCAGCAGCTCCGCTGGGAAAGCAGCCGAGCCTGGTTTCGTGCCCTGCGACTTCTGAATATCCGAGGGCACCGTCGACTAAAAAAGCAACGATGAAAAGAATTCCTCCCCCCTGAAAAGCACTTACTTTCCCTCTTTTCAGATCTATTCAGAACAGAAAGCAAATGCATTTGAAGACAGTTCCCTAGAACAGAGTAAACGAGTTTCTACACCCGAGGAAAACACAGATATCCACAGCAACCCATTCGCATTGCCTGTAAAGCACATTTTTGTGACCTGAATTTTTCTGTCCCTGTGATACAATACAATGGTGTGCTCAAAGAATAACACAGGCACCCAGTGTGCCTTTCCGAAAGCTTTTGCTATAGAAATCGGGGGTGTTTGCACCAAGAGTAGCAGATTAGTGTGTTACCTAAGTCTGCAAACTGCACAACGGCCCTTCCTGCTCAACAAGTCTTATCGCAGACAAAAAGATATCCTTCATTTTACCAACATGCCATAAAACCTCAGTAACCTGATCCCATGTTTTGGCTAAACAGCTCCAGCACATTTGCAGATATTGAGCTCAGTAAATAGTTCCTCATGAGAAAGCCAACTGTTTTTTCCTCTTTCGGATCTCAAGGATATGGGATTAAAGGGCAAAATTCACTGCCTTTTTCTCCATGTGAAAGAAGTGCCTGTTTCATTCTAAAATTTGAGACTTATGATCTTAAGATCACCTCTCCCAAAAGACTGACTCCCACAACACCAAAGAACAAAAAGGTCTAGTAAACTTCTTGCTATTTGGTTCATAGTTTTCCTTTGTAATGCAAACTGTAGGACAGTAAGTCTCTGCCACAGGAAAACAGACATCTGAACAGATTTCAGGGAAAGGCAAACTACAGCTTAGGGACAAGAGAAAATTCCTTTGTTCTGGTTTATTCTTCTTCTTCAGTCTTATTCTTGCAGCACTTATCACTGATATTACAGGGCGATCTAACTGGAAAGCCCTGGAGAGGGGGGAGTAACAGCAGCAAAGGATAAGAGTACAGAGTGTATAGCAATGGTGAGAGAAGAAAAAAATCCCCCCCCCAATAACCTTTCTTAATAAAAGGACTAAGACACAACAATTATTTGTTTTCGCTTCAAAATACCGATTTTGAGATTTGTTTGGGAAGAACACAGGTACCTCTGCAGCGGATGCTCTCACCACCTCTCCCGCTTGCTCCTGTCTTTCCCTCATTTTCCAATGACTCGTATGTAAATATGCTAAAGAGGATGTTATCCCACCTACACAAGTTTAAAACAGGCTGATGAAACTTAAGAGATAGATTGTAATTTCTTTCAGAGAAAGCCATGAAGAGAACATAACACAATGATAACGATCAGGTCCTTGAAAGGTTGAACCTCAGAAAATGTGAATAAATTAGTGTGTGCACAGCATCGTTTTGCATAAATCAGCAGAAACAGAATTTACCTTATCTGCCATGAAAAAGAATCCAGTAGGCAGAATCAGAACGATAAAGGATTATGCAAAACTTCCTTTAAAGTGCAATCCAGAATCTCTCAGAGACTCCACTCCGGCCAAGATTAGCCTCTTTCACAATGTACCGCTTTACTTCTTTTTACAAGGTTTCAAAACATTTCGCAACCATCACTACTCCAAAGCAAATAAATACTCCTACTCAGCCAAACTGTCCAATGACACCACTTCGTAGACATTGAAAGGCAAACCTCTGGTTTGCCCTGAAACAACTTTTATTTTCTGCGCGCCGGATTTGTAGTCATCAGCCGAGTGAAGAAGAATATCCAGGAAACCAACCTTCTCTATCACCCCGCACACACTGCCTGCCTTGCTCTCTCCCCTACCCCGTAGAAAAATGGGAATTATTTAAAAGGCAGGGCATCTCCTCTATTACTTTTCCTCGATTTGCTATGCAGGCATTATGGTGACGATGTATTCATCATTTTCTCCTGAGACACAACCTGCCTGCGTGGCAGAGATCAAAAGCGTAAGACGCTCTACTGAGCCGAAAACAGTCAAAAAGAGAGAAGATGGGAGACAAAAAAAGGTGAAAATACAGCCTACAGATCACAACAAAGTGAAAGGATAAGCATCTGAAAAATCAGTAGTACACTGGCTTCTCAATCTATCAAAATGCAATGCGAAACAATTCTCCTAGTTTTTAAATACTTTGATCCATCTGGACACATGTATGCAAAATGACACCATTTCTCCCTTATTAAAAAAACAGCCCATGCACCTCACTTATATTCACAAGAGTAAAAATAAACAAACCCAAAATAGAAATTACAAGAGATTAAAAATAAATCAGTGCCAAAAAATAAAAAAGGGGGGGAGAAAAGGAGACATCTCAAATTTATTTTCTTAAAGGAAAAGCTACAAATCTTGTGCATCAAGATGACGCCCAAATATGGACTTCTAAGGAACCAATGCACTTATTTAAATAAAAAAAAATACTCATTAATAAGAGCTGGCGACATGCCAAAGTACAGTTTTTCTTGAAATCATCTTCTCTTGTTGCACTACAGATGGACCCAGCTGCTGCAGCGCCGGCGCAGGGCGAGCCTGCCTGCCCACAGAGCCCTCCGGATCCGGGGGGATGGCCCCCAAAACCTGCACAGTTCTTACAAGATGCTCTTCCTTCTGGAGACAGTAGAACAAAGACAAACCATCAACATATTAAAAGGTTTATGAGCCATACAGTAATTTTTAATGATTACGTCACGTGGTGAGTGTGACTGGAAAAGCCTTATTTCAAGAGAACCGTGAGCGAGAAGCCTCAAAAGAAATAACACCTCTTTTTCCACTATAGTGAAGAAATACTTTAAAAGTTAAAAAAATTACTTTAGTATCTAGTCCTGGAGAGACAGACTGGGATACCAGCCATGGTGCAAATGCCTTTTCCTTTTTTAAAACATAAAGACTGAACGATGACAATACCCACAAAGCTCAGTACAGGATAATTGAATTAATGGAATAAAATTTACATTCTTCAGTCCATCAGAAACAATTTAAGAAAAAAGAACTGAGAAAGTGAAGGACTGAAGAAACTCTCTGCTCTAAACTTCCTTTATAGGCCTTGATTTAACTCACATATCTTTTCAAAACCCTAAGATAGAAACTCTCTTTGTCCATCTTGTCAAATTGATTTGGTTTCAGGGGATTACAGGTTTAGTGAACAGAAGCAATTTTGATATAATGCATCTACATTTCCCTAAGAAATTAGACTTTCTACCACAAAGACATTTTGATTAATCAATTCTCATGCAATCCAAGGCTCAGCTGGCTCACTGATGGGCTCATGGAGTAAATGTGAACAAAGGAACCCCATTCAGCAGGTCCATTTCTAGCAAAATCCCAAATATATTTGCTCTTCATCTTATATCAATATTCTTTTTTTTTTTTTTTTTTTGACTTTAATACTCTAGAAGTTATTGTGGATGTGAAGAAAGCAAAGAGAGCAAAATAATAATTATTTAGAGGACAGGCTGCTAGGACAAAAAGTCAACTGGACTGGTCCATGAACTTGAGTGTGTGCATGATGACCGTATTGCAACACAGTCCAGCGTGGGGCTGTGATATAATATATTCCCTATCTTAGGAAGGAGAATAAAAACTGATTTGGGAGGTGATGGTCGATGACATGCCAAGTGCCAGCTCCATCAGAGGAGGGCAAGAACATCAATATGGGAAAAACCTGGCTACGTACATGAGTGAAGCACACACAAAACATGCTTCGAAGCGAACAGAGCAGTAAAACTTGAGCATTAAACAGTCCCTTCGTCTTCTTGACGCAGTGCACGTACACCCGCAGTTTGTTCTCTGCATATACGTGCCGGAGGCAAGGACCACTTCTTCCTGTAAATCTGTGTAACATCAGCTCTAAGTTGATTAGCTCCTCTGGATATTCTTGTAACACAAACAGTACTGACTCAACACAGTTGGTACCTTCCCCTGTATAATTAATCCTCCTTAGCAACCCCTCTGATCATTTGCTCTAAGCAGTATCATAGAGTCACAGACTGGTTTGGGTGGGAAGGGACCTTGGAGATCATCCAGTGGCACCCCGTGCCCTGGGCAGGGCCCCCTTCCCCCAGCCCAGGGGGCTCCCAGCCCCGTCCAACCTGGCCTTGAACCCTTCCAGGGAGGGGGCACCCACAGCTGCTCTGGGCACCCTGGGCCAGCGCCTCACCCCCCGCACAGGGAACAATTTCTGCCTTATATATAACCTAAACCTACTCTCTTTCAGCTTAAAACTGTCCCCCCTTGTCCTACCCCCACCCCCTGATCCAGAGTCCCTCCCCCCCCCTCCTGTCCCCCCTTTAAGCCCTGGGAGGCCGCTCGAAGGGCTCCCCGGAGCCTTCTCTTCTCCAGGCTGAACCCCCCAATATGAGAAGGCGATGATGAGGGGGGCAAGCAGGGTTTGCAGGTTAGTTCAGGAAGGACACTGAGGACAGCAAGAGCCTTTGTGTGTACCCATGGCAGCAACCTGAGTTACAATTTCTGGCAAAGATTTGAAGCAAGAGAAGGAAAAAAAAAAATAGAAGGGGGACAACGATACAATGTCCGAGGACAGGCGGAAGGTTTGTTTAGCCTGGAGGAGAGACAATTGAAGATGGGGTGAAACCTAATTGCTGCCTTTGACTACCTAAGGAGAGATTAGAAAGGAGATAGCACCAGGGGTTGACAGAAAAAGGACATGAGGCAACAGACACAGATTGCAGCAAAGGAAATTGTGACTAGATGTAAGATTCATTTACTAATTTTTTTTTAACATGAGGGTGGCCAAACAGTAGAACGTTGGCCCAGAGGATCAACGGAGATCTCCACCCTTAAGAAAAATTCACCACTTGAATGGACAAAGTCTTGAGCAAGGGCCTGATCCCCTTCTGGAGCTGGTCCTGCTTTGGGCGAGGGATCAGAGTGGGTTGGGATACCGACCCAGCTCACCCCACGCCCTGTGCCTACTCAAGGATGGGTGTGCAAGTGCCACAGTCACCTCCAAGTCACAAAAGGAAGGTGAGCAGCTCCCGTGACCTGAGGGCACAAGAGCTCCCACGGAGGTACCACAGCGGCCACCACGGACGGCTGGCACGGGAATGACTGGTTCTGAAGAGGAACCCCCCCCTCCCCACACACGTACTGACCAGCACAAAACCAAAATAAAGGTGCAAAAGCAGCTCCAGTAAATGTTTAACACGAAGCAAAGTTAAAAACAAAACCAACAAAGTTCACGGATGATGAGAGTAGTTTATCTGCTTCAGATTTCTTCGTTCTGTGCCAAGGAACATGCTGGATTTCTATTTCCTCTGCGTTCTTTTATTTCATTTTTGAAGCAGCACATTTACACAGTCTCATGTTGCCTACGATCACAAATATAAACCAGCAAAGATATTTTTAACCTTGCTTAATAGAAAAAAAAGTTTCATGGACAGGACCAGGCTGCCCTGGGGGCACTCAGACTACGAGGAGTTTAGTAAACAGTTTATGCAGACACTTGCACTGTGTAAATGTTTGCATTATGCAAATATTTATCACAGTTAAAAATTTATAAAACCATTATTTAAAGTTTCTCCATAGCGCAGTGCTGAGGATTTCCAAGATCATCTTATATTCAGGGTAGATACCATATTGTGAACAAACATAAGCGAGCATCAGAAGGTCAAGAAAACAAGATGAGAGAAGTGAAAAGTGAGGGCTCGGGCAACTGCTGTAAGAAGCCAGGGAGGCAACAACTGAGCTTTAGAGAGGGAGGAATTTACAGTTTTTATCAACAAACTCTGGAAGTTTGCAGTGTCCAACTGAACAAAGCTCAGTCTTGCAAATCCCCTGGCACAGTGCAAAAATAGCGAAGAGTAAAACACGGTTATGGTTAATAATAAAATCTAACACAAGCCAAGAAGAGAGATAAAATATGCACAGCGCTCTTAAAAACTATAGTGCTTTTATTTTGGTATCAGAGGAAGGTATTTTTCAATAGATGCTGTTTTCCACTTCATCAAAATTAGAAGCATCTGCTATTTCCTGAACTTGGCTTACCGAACAACACAGCTCACTACTAATGAAGATGAAATTCAAATGTCATCTAAAGAAGCAATTAAAAAAATAATTGAATTTTTTTCCTACCTCAAAAATGTTATTGTATTAAACTCACGCTTGCTTGTCCTCAGGCACAGACTTCCCAGTGATTTACAGATGATTTTAAAGTCTGAACCATAACTGTTAATGCTGTGAACTACTTATAACCTCAATTTAAAAAGCCTATTAATTTTTGGAAAACACACAAGAAACTACAGGCACAAATCACAATCATTTCACCTTTTCAACAGCATATTAAAAATTAGCTCGATTAGAGCAAAATGACTATGAGTCAAGATGACATTTCTTCCTCTTCCTGCATATCAATTCAGTGCATGACACCAGGAGAGTGCTTCCAGGTTGCACTTCCAGGTTTTTGGAGTTTTTTAGAAGAGAGAAGGTTTCTTCTTCTTCAGATGCAGTGAAAATAACATAATAATTCATTTCTGTGTCTTGTTTTGACCTCAGGTTAGACTGAAGGTTTACAAAAAGCATTCTTTCACTACAAAACAACTCTGCGTTTTCAGCTGAAGACCAAAAAAAAAAAAGTGGTGTGTTTAATTTTTTTTATCAACTTTTTGTTCCTATGCCGATCTTCTCTCATAGATATTGCAAGGATCTTTTAGAACAAACACGAAGTATTTTTAGAATTTCATTTCACAAATGAAAGGAAGCACAGCAGAAGGTTAATTCTGGAAACAGTTAAGCAGCCACTTGGAACAAGCAAAATCCAAAGGGAACCATTAGTTTTTCCGTACACAATTTGGGATTATTTTTCTAATTTCAGCTAAAAGGATAGAAAACATAAGGTGGTGCTTGTCACTGCAAGACTGAAGTACATAAATGCTTAAGTTATATTTAGGTCTCTCTGTGAAATGTCAACTGTTAACCAGCTTCCACAAATCGGTCTCTCACCACAGACAGATGAGCCAAATACCCGTCATCCATCAGAAGAACAGATATTTTTACACGTGTTTTTACAAGGTGGTCTGACCCATCGTTGTTGTTTCTGAACATGTTCCAAAGAGTTTAAAAAATTAAAGGTACATAAGGATATATATAGTTCTATGAGTCCTATACATGTTCATTACTTGGCTTTTGCCTTCCTTCAGCATTGACACACTAGGAGTTAAACTTTAAGTCATGTTCAAAAAGGATAAATGGGGCAGTTTTCTCCTTTAGGAGCCTGCATAAGGAATCACCTCAAGCTCAACCAGATGACAGGCTTTTTCTTCCCTCTCAAATAATCAGGATTTGGAAATGAAAACATAATGCTTACATGATACAGTGCAGTAACATGATCTGTTCATTGTAAAAGCAAAAACAATTCCTTAATTGTTTATGCTGACGATGACTGCACAAAAGGACACTTGCTATATGTGCTGTATTTACAGTATTATATATTTACATTACTGGAACGTGCTTATACTGCTAGAAACCACATTAGAATTGAGGCTCCAAGTTAAAGAAACATCATTGCATACAGTTAGATTCTTACCAAGGGGAACTCACCTAAAAGCTGCCAGTAAGGGAGCGTAAATTGAATCTCCATCATAGACATACAAGTGGTCCCAACTGCACTCTGTGGCAAAGTGATTGAATCGAAGCCTGAGGATTGTGTTTGGCCTGTAGAAAAAGAATAATAAATGAAAAGATTTGTGACGAGCCACCTGACACACATGGCAAAGTCGCTCCAACAAACCCCTCCAGTGTGAAGCTCCTCTCTAAACAAGACTAAAACTGAGGGACTTAGTGTAACTGTAGATGCAGCAAACATGCTGTGGCTTTCTTTTCTGGTGTGGACGCTCCCCTGGTATTAAGCAACAGATTCTTTATGGTCAGAAAAACTGTGTCCTTAAACCTTCCCCCACCACGATGGCAGAAATTGAAGAGCAGGCACTGGCAGCCCTCTGCCCTTTACCAGTACTGAATCAGCTAATGACAGGGCTTTGCAGGGGTAGGCATGGAAAATCTACGTAGACAATACATTCACATGTAGATGTGCCACTTAGGGACATGGTTTAGTGGTGGACTTGGCAGTCTTATGTTTACGGTTGGACTCAATGGTCTTAAAGATCTTTTCCAACCTAAACGATTCTATGAAGAATCACAGACACCATGAGGGAATTATTCAGAGCTATTCTTCTTGCTCAAGGGATTTTCTGCAGATTGATATGATTACGATGGCCTGAGATTATTTACTTGCCCAGAAGCTGGTAGAAATCCTTCTTCAATTACTTTATTACTTGTGCAGCACTGCAGGATGGCCCTCCTGAGGGAAGCCCCTCCAAACTGGAAATTAGAAATATGCCTCAGTGGATGCAAACTGTAGAAATTCTCAGTCGTGCTCACCACCTTCTGGAAGCTGGAGAAAACAGGTCAAGAGAATTCAGGAGACCTGTCTTCTCCAGGATGGGAGGCCCTAGGGCTCTACCTTTTGCCAAAAGGAAGGTCTTTGGTTATTACTTGGGACTGTCGAGATGTAGGAACCACTCACTGCCCCTCATGCCTTACAAACGCTAACCAAGTTGTCTGGCTTCCTTCTGGAGATGTGTTTCAAGAAATACTGGGACCAGCTGAGAATGAATGAGCTGGAAGTCCTGGGAAGAGACTTGCTGCCTTTCACCTGAATGCAGCGGGCCCAGCACACCCTGATGTTAACACCACTGGTCAAGGGTCTACTCTGTTGACTTACTAAGTCAAGAGAAGATCATCAAGGGGCCTGATCTTCTGAGATGTATCAGCAAGAACAAGGTTTTATTTAGCTGATGTGGGGATAGAAACAGTAGTTCAGACACCACACCACAACACATCAGCATTTCTTTCACTCCATGCACAGAAGATGCCCGCTAAGCCATAACCAAGTAATGTAAATTTAGATACCATTAGTTTCATGGCTAATATACAAAGATACATCTAAAGAGAATTAGGCAGAAGCCACAGCAGATATCTAATTTAGGGCTCAGCTCGAGGAAGGTGAAAACACCACTAACATTCTGCCTGGACCCTGAGATAAAAAGAAAGTGAATCTATAGCGGCACTGCTTTTTCCTACCCACAGCTGTAGCTGTTGAAAGGATAGATGCAAGTGATTAGGATCTCTTCAACAGCATTGGCCTTGGGTTCATATGAAATCCTTGTTCAGCCTAATCAAATAAATTAATAAAATGTCAGCTTGCCGTAGACTCCATTGCCACAGAAGGTGAATTCTTTAGGGAGTTATTCTGAAAAAAGAATAACTTTTGATAGGCACAATGATCTACTCCAGGCCTTCGGAAAAAGAGCAGCAGGTATAACTCAAGGATAAAGAAAAAATACAAAAAGCACTCATCGTTTCAAAACTGAGCAGCCTATGAAATTGTAGGGGGTTTGCTTCTATTCTAACGGTCTTACAGCTGTAGAGCAGAAAGAAATACTGAATCAATAAAAGCTTTAGACCGAGAACAAAAAGCAAGATATTATCTTTGCTATAGCTAACAACTCATTAACAGAGAGCACTCATTTGCAGAATGGCGAGGCACATGGCTATAGGTTCTGCCTCAGATGGGATCCTTGGGTTGGGTGGATCTCATCTGCCTCGTCTCATGCTCCTGGGGAAAAATTAAAAGGACACCCCCAGCATGAGGACATGGCACAGACACCAGCCAAGAAGAGTCAGGAACGGTGCAAAAAGGAAATGAGTACAGTAAGCAACACATGGCTTATTTTACATCTGAATTTATCTACCATCTTCAACTGCACATTTGGATTGTACCTCTACGTGCTAACCTCAAAAGCCCTCCACATACTGGTATGCTAGCAACAAGGTGGGGGCACTCAGCAGAATTTAACAGCTTTGCAGATGCTGTTTTCCAAATCCAGATCTCTCTGGGAATTTCACATTTGGCAGAGAGCTTGGGCTATTTTCACAAGGGTGCATATTTCAGCTGTTTTAATCAGCGTGATTATCTCCCTTCTGTTTACCACCATCCTCTGATAGCAGGGTACAAACAATCAGAAGCAGGAAAAGGGCACCGATTTGAGTGCCTGGCTACAAAAGCAGAAGGAATATTTTTGTACACCTCTTCACTGCAAGTAGGATCTCACTTCAAACCCCATGAAGCAATAGTTCTCTAGGAAGCCCCTCAGTACTTGCAACCAAGGGCTGAAGGAGCAGTTACGGTGACATTACTGGGGACCCTGATGAGCACTTCACTCCTGATGAAAACATGAATCACCTTATCCTTTACAAAAGAAAGGTATGAAGGTTAAGCTGACTGCACTAGAATTTCTGAGGCTGGTTTGTCTGTAATAACATCCTTGCAAAACAATTTTTAATTATTTGTAATTCCAAACTGGCTGCAGTCGTATTTTTATTAGCTACAAAAATTAAGAGGTGTTGCCACTTACAGCATCTCTCTTTTGATCTTAACCACATTAAAGAACTGGGCTCCTCATATAGTTAAAAGTGAGTGGTAGGCTCCCAATTTCAGTGTTCTATGTGGCTCTCTGGAACAGCTTAGTCCTCACCTTTGAACATCTTGGGAGCTTAGGTATTTAAACTACTCATCCAAAATAAATGTCTGAAGTAAATGAGGTGAATACCAATTCCCCCCACCCATTAGACCTCCCAAATATAAAGAGAAGACTAAAGAAAAAGTGCACCCTGGCCTTTTAGTAAGTTCTGATCCTCCAAGACGCCAAGAGATCTCAGCTTACAAGCGCAAGTGAAATCATTCAGGATCTCACATGACTTGTTCCTGTTCACCAACCTCTCTACTTAGAGATTCAGAGAACAGTATGGCAGGTGACTTAATGCACAGCTGTTAACACACAGCGTCATAACTGACCATGCAAAGTTTCAGAGACTAAACAAATTGATTTTACAATTCTGACATCGGCTTGGTAATATGAAAAATATATTTCAACAAGTCAGAGGCTCTGAACTGCTATACCATCAGTCTGATGACAAACAGAGGATATGCACTAAACAGGCTACTCCTAAAACCTCTGCAAGAAATCACTATAAGCAATATAAGGATCAAATAAATACAGGAAGGACAGGGAAATGAAAGGATGATGTCTAAGGGACTTCTCACAGTTTAAAAGGCCTCTGCCAAAAAGGGTCAGTGGTCCCTCTTAAGTCTTCAAAGCCTAATGAGTAAATAAGTGTCTGAAGAGTATCATTACAGGAAGTAATTCTTCATGAATAAGGGCTTTAATACAGTTTTCTCTATTTTTTCATACTGCCAAAAAGTCCCTCCTATAGTGAATCCCAAACACCGAATGGCCCACTACAATAGCAGTTGAATAGTTACTCGTTCTTTATTTATATACAGAGATGTATTTATTCTCATTTTCCACATGCAGTTTCAACATGAAGGGTATTTTACACAGCAAACCTCATTCAGAAGCTAGTTAGGAAGGCTCAGTTGCACAGAAAAAACTTATTTACCAAGAATACCTAAGTGCTGCCCTATCTAGTTTTAAGAAAAGCAATAAAAGAATCTTGAGATCTAAAAATGCAGATAAACCTCACCTAAAAGTCACAACAAGCAACACTAAGAACCAAGATGTTTACTATACTCACCTTCCTTCAATGAGCCAGGTGCATTTTGTTTTGTATTTGTAATTTCCAGGCCCATCCGTTACATACCCTGAAGGTCCAGTGAGTCTGTAAATAAAAAAAAAAAAAAAGCATTAGTCTCCAATGATATTAAACATTCATAAAGGATTTCCTAAATTTAGAAGATCCCTCACTAGGTTTTCATTTACTTAAGAGCCACTACAGACAAACCGACAATGCAACACAAAGCAATCAGGCAATTGGGATTCCCCTGTTAAACTCTCTGTACGCGCTTTCTGATGATAGTCCTTAGAGAACAGCCAGTTGAAAGTGATGTTTCTCTATCAGACTGATGATATTGTTTCAGATCAGCACCCTAGGAGAAGAAACCTTCCTCCACAAACACTAATACACAGACTAATACCATCCAGCCAGCAAACGGAGTTCCCTAACAGAAGAGCTGAAGTTATTCCTAAACTATTTATTTAGACAAACAACACAATTCATGCACAAAGTCCAGATGAAGTCCATTTCATCCATCCTGTATTTGACTCTTCACAAAGTCCTCGGCAACCTCCTGAATGGAAGACTGAACCCCCATAACCCTCCAGTGCACCGTCAGACCTTCATTCCTCAGGCCTCAAGGGCTGAATAACTCGGAACAGTGTCAGAGCACGGCAGTCCCAGGCACCCCCCACCTTCGGGAGCATGTTCCCATCCCCAGGTCACCCCGTATTATGTATCAAAATCAAAGAGCTGAACGGTCCCCACCGTCCAGATGGCGCCAGGACTCTGCTGTGAACATCCTTCCCCTCTGCGCCTATAAACAGGAGGTGAGAACTTGACAGTAGCAACAGACCCGGGAGAAGGATGAAAAAAACCAGAAAGTACAGTTGGAATCATGCATCCCGGGACACTCAGTGAACGGCAGCACTTAAAACCATTAAAAATTCAAGACGCCACTGAAAGCGAGACGGGAACAAAGCCAGCCAAGGATTAACTTTTGTCAACATCTGCAAAACATTCTACAGTGCCAGTTCTAGACGACCGCATTTGTCTAGGCACTGCTTGAAGGGATGTCCAAACAGGCAGCAGCAAACCCAGCCCCGAGCTCAGACGGGTGTTTTGATGAAAAGTTCAGAACGGATTTCAGAACTACGCTTAACCCTCTGCGGTGGTACAGAGGAAACTGATATTCCTCCTCGTTACTTGGTACGTTCATTACTTGTAATGAGCACGAATGCAGGCTGAGCGAAGCCATGCAAAACCTGCCTTGACATTTCCACTGCTCCTACTCGAAACGCGACAACCAAACACGTCCCCACTGCAAGACAAAATGAAGGCAGCAATCTACTGGCTGCAGCTATAACTTCGCCTTCCCATAGGTTTTAACAAGGTATGTTTTCTCCAAAGGCCCTGGACAACAGCGAAGATAATCGCACTTCTTCGAGGCTGAGGAAGATGAATCTGGCAGGAGTTTGGGGCAGCGGATCGATACGTCACTTGGGCTCCCAAAAAACAGGTACTGACATTCTGCATCTTCTGCCTTAGCACAGAGGCTGGGGGGAGCACGCAGGGGCTGAAGACAAAACCCAAGAGCCAGACTGTAGGGATACACGTTCCCGTCTCATACGCATCAGTCCAAATATTCCAGACTGGGTTTAAGCAATAGCTGAAATATAGCAGAAACAGTTGCAAACACATTCCCAGGGAAGGGTGACGTCCAGTGGAAGCAGTATCTGAAGATGCCCAAGCACCACGTTCCGGCAGAGCACACACCGGCACCACAAACAGGATTCTGACCTGGGGAGGTTATGGCACGTGGCTGGAGCAAGCCACAGCCTTCTGGCAAAATTAAATCGTCCTGCTCAGAGCACAGCTTTAGTAAAACAAAAAACACTCTGCAAAATCAAATCTGGCAGAAGAGAAAAGGAAACAAGATCAGAAGTTCCCAAAACCGGTACCTTGGAACCTTTTGCTGTGTCTTTTCCTAGCGACCTGTTAATGTTATCATCTAATGCTTTTTAAATATTTTCCAGAATCTTTTCCATAGAGTGCTTTTAAGATTCATCTCTGATCCAAATTAAAAAGGCAAAACCCACCAATTTTGGAATCCACCTTCCTCTTCCTCCATATTAATTTATTATAAAACTTTTCAACCTCAGAAATTTAGCTTAAGATTTTTTGAAGCCAGTTACTGAAGTTCTGCAGGAGATCTACATTTAAACATGCGAAGAAACAACTCTAATTTTCAGCAGCCCAGGAAGTATCTGTACTTTCTATGGAGACATGGATAAATGTAGATGTAAGTATAGATGTAGATAAACAAACATACTCACACACACACACGTATACATATATGTATTTTAAGGCTTCAACATCTTTGAAAATTCAAATTACTTATCTACCAAACAGGATTTTGCAAAAACAGATGCAAATTCCAAGTTGTAGGCAATAACATCTAGACATTTTATCTAAAAATTCATCCTTTTCAAACTAATATATGTGGAACAGCTAGGAATCAAACTGTATCAGTGCTTCAACACTGACAGAACTTTGCATGCAACCGAGAGTAAACACTCTGGAAACCTGAGCAAGTCTCACAAACTAAAAACAACCTTATGCAATCTGCCAAGCTCTTAAAGAGCCTCTGCTCAGAAAACTCTTTGAACAATTTTCTCTGGAAACAATTACTAAATCACTCACCACAGAAATGCTATCAAGTGATGGAAAAAAAAAAAAAAAAAAATAATCCTGTTAGTACTGTAGTCCCAGCCATGCCACATCTCAAGGAGGGGAAAAAAAAAAAAAGAGCATTTCAACATCAACATAATTTAATCCCCTTTCAGCAATGCAAAAACAAAACAGAGGATTTAATTTAAAAAAAAAGTCAAATTTCTTTAATATGCTATTAGTAACTTAGCTGTAAATTGCTCAGATTCCTTACTAAACTTTAGAAGCTGCTGTCATTATGAAGAAATACAGGATATTAAAAAAAAAAATCAAAGTTAAAATCTCTGAAAGCAAAAGACATAAGAACTAAGTTCCTATCCCACATACTGCCAGGCACGGGCAGGACATTGGCAGATCCACATAACTCTATAAACACTCTCCCTGAGACATGCTCCAGGACAGACAGAAATAAATACCAAGTACTAAGAGCAAACTGAAGCTGGAATTTTATCTTTACGTTCAATAGGGAAAGCTAAACTGATCGCCCAGCTACAGCTAAAAAAAGCAAACGTGTCCCTTCCAAGTCGGTCCTGTTTGCACTGCACGCGACGGCGTCTCGTTCGGTACTGGTGGGCACTGATAACTGGGACACGTCCCACGCGATGTTTTGGCTTTGCCTTTGAGCAAAGTCTCCGGAAGGGAATACATGAGTAACTCGAGGAGGAAAAACACTTGGAATGAAGTAACTCCCTTAGGAGGCCGGACTGAGAGAGCTGGGGGGGTTCAGCCTGGAGAAGAGAAGGCTCCGGGGAGCCCTTCGAGCGGCCTCCCAGGGCTTAAAGGGGGGGCAGGAGAGGGGGGGAGGGACTCTGGATCAGGGGGTGGGGGTAGGATGAGGGGGGACGGTTTTAAGCTGAAAGAGAGTAGGTTTAGGTTATATATAAGGCAGAAATTGTTCCCTGTGCGGCGGGGGGAGGCGCTGGCCCAGGGTGCCCAGAGCAGCTGTGGCTGCCCCCTCCCTGGAAGGGTTCAAGGCCAGGTTGGACGGGGCTGGGAGCCCCCTGGGCTGGGGGCAGGGGGCCCTGCCCGGGGCAGGGGGGGCCACTGGATGATCTCCAAGGTCCCTTCCAACCCAAACCAGTCTGTGATTCTATGATTCTACTTCAACACAGGACATTTTCATGACACTCTCAAGACGTACACCAGAGAGCTCTTACCCCTAGGCAACCTGCTACCAACTCCACCAGGATCTGGGGTCTTTTGCCCTACTAAATGCTTTGTGCATATTTATAATTTTATCGCTCAGATGCATAAACCAGATTGCATAAAGTATGGAAAAGTATGGATTCCCATTTGTCTTTGCTAACTTGGTAGTACGTTTTACTACTCTACACAAAGCACTTCTGTGCTACTTGGGTGTTACATCTCCTACTCTGCAAGGAGCAGTTGCTACACCTTAAGAAAACAAAAAAGCAAGGTCCTTTAAGTATTCTGTGATGCATAAACACACATACATGCAGGTGGAAAAAGATACACAAAGCACAGATAAGGCATTTAGCACCTACAAAGATACAATATTGACTTTAAAACCTCCAGCGTAGAAAAACTATTGCAAGATCTGTTTACAAAACTCAGATTTAAAACTATACAGTTATATATTGAAAAATACCTATTTATGTGCATACACACACTACTTAAGGCATGTTTCAAATATTAGAAAGTGGCAACAGTGTTACACACAGGTGGTGTAAATTTTTCACTGATTTTTCAAGTGGACTGCAATATTTCATAGGTCAAAAGGGAAAAAAGGGAGTTAGGGACCTGAATCTACAGCACACGTATTCAAAGGGCTCGAACCTTGAGTGCTGCCTGTTTCAGCTTTTTGTAAAACAAAGACAAAAGGAAAGAAATTAAAAGAATGAAGATCTCACAAAAAAAGAGCTGGCTTCAAAGAGGAATATTTTATGTAAAAGAATCCTGTGTATTTAGCTACTCCCCGCTAGTTCTGGGAGCCCCCGAAAAGCCCAGCACCGACACAAGAAAAGCAATGGCATCTCCTGGGTAAAAAGCCAAATCTGAGTAGTGGAGCATACCAGATAAATCCGTGTGGTTTTAATAATAACACAAATAATACTAGCAGTGTATATTTTTCAAATACAAATTAGTATACACTGACAAAGTTCCTACAGAGATACGAACCGCACAACTAGGCAAAGACTCAAAACTGTTATCTAATTACCATCTAATAAATCTAAAGCAACCCTCTTGCTAATAGCTGAGTATAAAAAGTCACAAACTTGAGAACCGCTTATAACTTAAGATAAAATCATTTTGCAGCATTTACTTTCAAAGCATTGCAACATTACAGGTACACTACACGCTGGCAACAGGATGTTGAATATATTTATTTTCATCAGAAGATATACAAAAGAGAA